CAGCATTAATTGCACGAGTTCTTACATTTAAGCTTAAAATTTTAAAGGCAAGCCCCAATTTAAAAGAAGTACCTCAATATTTCCACCAATATTTCCGCCAGTATCAATTTTTCAAAGGCATGAAATGAATTATTATAACTACAGCCTCGTTTTTATTTCCTCAGTAACTTCATTATAGGTTTCACCGAAATTAATGCCCCATTCATCGTTTTTTTACCATTTCATCAATTTAAGGCCAAGTTTCTCTTTGCAGCCAGGAAATTCAGTGAGGTTCTATATGAACTCTGAATGAATTATGTCTCACTGTTATGAAGAGACCCGCTATGTTGCGGTTTACGAAACTTCTCATGCCACTAAATTTACGATTATGATCTATTGCATTTATTTTTTTCTGCATATGGCGCCTCCATTTGAACAAAAAATATGCCAGGTATCTTATAATTGCTTACTTGTCTGAGATCCTACCTATAATCAATCTCAATCCGAATTCAATTAAACAATATTCTGTTATATCATGTCTCAATTCTTGTTTGCATACGAGCCCATTATTGACACGCATCGCATTTCATATTTTTGTTTAACCCAAAATTCAATAATAAAATGCATAAGAAGTAAACTTTATTTGCTTTGAGCATGGTGAACACCAAAAATATCATAACCTCGGTGGTAAGAGTGACCATGGTATCCTTCGAACTTTAAATTTCAATTCGTGATGTATAATGGCAACGGCGTAAACTCCGAACGTCTGATATTTTGACAACGTCTGAATATCAAGATGATTATCAATAATGAATGAATATCAATAATTATCGAATTTTCGATTACTTTTTACCGATAAAGTGTTCAAATGTTCGGAATATACGCATACTTGGATTACGCAATCACGCAAATTAAGGAGATCGATAAGATTCTGATGCGAGGTCTAATCGATCAGCAAGAAACACATTCAAATACTTCGCATTACGATCAGCAATGCTCTGCAATCCATGGAAGTGCTGTGGCAATCACCACCACCGGAACGACTACAATACGCAGTGCCAATCAGATTGTCTAGTATATTGATCAATATTTTGTCGGATCCGGGTAATTTTCGGCTCGATGATTACTGCGCTCACTTCGGCGCCTTCCCCTTGACGCTGGGAACGTTCGTCTGAGCTACGAACCGCTGTGACCTGTTCAATTAAATGGGGGCTTTACTGTCGCAAGAAAATGAAGCTTGTCTTATGTGTTGTATGTTATCAAATTGTCTTGTTTGGCTGCATTAATCAAAGAACATGCAGTCTTGAGGTTGAATTTACTAGTATCCGTTGTAGTTGAAAGTGGCCATCGAAATGATGCATGCAGCTTCGAGGGATCATTCCAATCCTGAGTATAAACAATAAAACTTTCCGACTATACATATTATACTTTTTCGCATAATTTCGGATAAAGTAATCACAATTAAGACCTTGATTGAAAAATGAGTCTGATACCTACTCTGAATTCGATTGTTAATCTCTACACTATGTTTGAAATTCTACCCTGCTTATGTTTTGAATAACGTAGACATCTTCTGTCAATTTTAAATTTGCCGGACTCAAGTAATTTTGGACGCACCGACTCTGTCAACATAACCGCGTGATGTGCATTTGTAGGCTCTTGCTGAATTTTGTCTAAGAAAACATTATTGCATCCATGCAAGATTACTTAAATAAAATGAATCGCAAACGTGTTGGGACCTAAACTTAGCAAATAACCACGCTAGAAATGTTAAACTTGAACTTAAATTTGTGAACTTAATCTTGAAATGTGAACATCGTTCTTGAACTTAAATTAGTGGCTGGAACTTTAGGTTCAGAGCGTTCTAACAAGGTTCCATATTTAACTGCATTTGACATGAAATAATCGTATAAATATATCACCTCAATATTCAAAATGTTTCATTGTAGAATAATTTAAAACTTATATTTCCAAGCTAGCATATGGATTTGAATTTAGTTACTTAATTTTCACTCGAGCATCGCTTTTCGCTTGCAGTAAAAAATTGACTATTGTGAATATAGGCCTCATAGAGGGCAATCAAATTAATAATTTTTTCCACTCGCTGCTTTTTAAAAAATAATCATGAAAAAATCCACAAGGGCTATGCAAATACGATCGGTCCAGGTATTACCACTCGCATGTTCCTGAGAAACGTTCAGAGTAAACGACCCCCAATATAACCTGGCCCGACTCATGTTTACACAAACTAGACCCTGATTATGTGAACCATTTTAGGAAATGCTCCTTCATGAGCTCGCCGCCTACAAGTGCTTCAATACGTAAGCAATTTTAATGTGGCTATCATGGCTTGTCTAAGTAGCCGCGTTCGTTAGAGGAATCGGTTTACCTTGAAAACTACATTGCTTGTTGAAGAATATCTGCTTTTTTCATTCAAGTTTAGATTTAATACATCAGCTAAAAATTCGTTATTCGAGAACTGTTGTTGCAGAATAATAATTTTACCCGCTAAGGGTAATTCTATTAAAACGTCATTTTAATTTTTTATTAATCTTCTGTAAATTGAAATTTAGCCACCGGCTGTCTATACAATGTTCATCCACCATATAATTGCAATTTTAAACAGAAATGTAGTTTATTTGGGCAGTAAAAGACGGAACCTGTTGATTGTTGCAAGGCCCCATCGTGAGTATCATCTCTCTCAAAGTCCGAGCCCGTCATCAATTAAGACCTGCTTTTGAAACTCCCACTGTTTTCATGGAGATGAAACAGTACGGAAGCCCGTCTATTTTTTCGGCATGACCGACGACCGAGGTGCGTCTTGCGGCGATGGCATCGGCACGAAACCCTATGGAAATTTCTCCACTTTCCTGGACATGTTAATCGCAGTCGTGGTCCCGATAATGGCTTCATCAAGACTCCGGGTAGCTGCTCAATATTCTCGAAGCGAGCTGCGTGAGTTCACAATTCAATTTGCGACGAGCAACTTGTGAAGACGAGTGGCTTGGCATGAAGCAGCGCGCTCGCATCACACGCTTCTTCTGCTCGTTAGCTCCATGCAACGTCTCGTCACGACACTTGAACAAAGAAGGAGACTGCGATACCATACTTTGGACATCCCGCACTCTTCGACCTGTAGACTCTTTTTGGTTGACTATCTATCATGTTTATCTGGCTCTGCATGTTTCTGATAGATGAGTGGTGCTAAATTTTGCTGCATTGTTTATCTAGTATTAGAGATCGAGTAATTTTTATGTTGAGAGAAAGACTTGCAGTGTAATGCTACGCAGGGTGATACGCAATAAATTCTGTGCTTTTATTTGCAATGCATTTATTCCGAATAAAAGTGCATTTATTTCGTATTTTTTAATCTTCTATCGAAATATTAGTAATTAAAATATAGTACATTCAATTTGAATCGTTTTTTAGCGTTTGTTCTTATTAAAATATTCTTATTTCAATTGCTTACCAGAATAAAATTTACTTTTATTTGCTTTAAAGTTAACTTAACTTGAAAGTCTTGTTGCTCATCACTGCTAAATTCTCAGCGTAACTGCGGCTATACACCGGAGAAGTGCCGGAATTTGCACCTAAAATTTATTTGCATTTGTGAAGTTGTCCGTTCATCGTCGAAATTTCAAAGTTTAGACACTTAGCTAAACTGAAAAAGCTTCTAGACTTTTGGTAAAAATACTCCTTTTAAACTGCACCTTTGTTCATTCCCAAATGATGTACACCTTTGTGAACAACTGATATTGCTGGAATGAACGTCAGTCAAGATATTATTACTTTCAAGTAGTTGGCATTCTGACAATTTGTTTGTAACTGTAAAAGAGCCATAAAATTTCGTTTCCTCTTTGAATGGTTCAAACATCGGACCTAATTATTTTGAAAATATTACCAATCGTGCATTTTCTTCTCAAATTTAGCCAGCTGAACGGTGCACTCTAATTTTACTGAATTACGTCAGATTTAAATCCAAAAACTGCCGTTGCATATCATATTTTATGAGTTAATTTTAAGTTGCCATATGTTTCACTAAAGTTTCTCTGGTACATTGATTAATTAAAAAAATAAAAATGAGACAAAATCCGTCACACACCAACTTTGAACACTACTGTTACGGAAACAGTGGCGACCTGATACATCCACGAGTCAGAAAAAAACTTTAGTTTGGGAAATCTCCAGCCAGTTGCAGACTATATCCTTATTAGATTATAGCCGTAGAACTTTCAAACTCCTTTGGAGCTTTGTGTGGAGCGTCTGCTGGCCACGTATAAAAATGCGTATATAAAATCACCGCAATATGCATGGATGAACAGAGTTTGTTCTGTACCCAGGTTGGACTGCCATCACTGATTGAGAAAGTGCGCTAACCGTCCTTCTTTTTCACGAACGCGTCTCACGAAGAGCGTCTCAAAATTTCGCTTTGTGATAGCCTCAGCTGATAAGAACATGAATTTCTCTTATTGTAATATTCGCTTGTGCAATTCTTTTACATCTGTGCTTTTGAAATACGTCGCGAGATGAAGGCTTTGGTAGTTTATGACGGTCGTATTTACGGCCGAAGCGGTGACCTCGCGGTCAAGCCTCGCGTGCCGCCTTGCAGTCTCAACCGGCGCCGGCAACTCCAGCGTTTTGATTTTACCTTCATTCCAGCGCATACGCTGAGAGATCTTTTAAGTTTAAAGTTCAAGAGATGTTTCAAAGTTTCAGGCCTTCGTCAGTTTTTTTTTGTGATTCTACAACACGTGTTATAAAGCGTTCTGTCTTTTATCAAATTCTTTGTTATCTATATTTTGTAATGCATTGACGAAAAAAATAATAAATCGCCTCTAAGGGAACAATCTCACGCTAATAATTGTTCTACGAGCTGATGCAGTACATAGTACACTAATTAACTTGGTACTCTGAACCCCCCAGAGCGTGCAAGGGCTGGTACAGTACACTAATTAGGACACTGCACCCCCAGAGCATGTAGGAGCTAGCACAGTACACTAATTGGTACACTCTACCTCCAGAGCGACATCGTACACCAGAGCGTGTACGAGCTGGTACAGTACACTAATTAGTATACACTCTACCCTCAGAGCGACATCGTACACCAGAGCGTGTACGAGCTGGTACATTCAGAGGACCGGGAAGAGTTGCAGCGACAGCTCATGTGGAACTCCCAACTGCCCGCGGACCAGGCGAACGCCACCCTGCAGGACATCTTGCGCGGCGACCAACAGGCGCTCGAGAGGAACTTCACCGTCAGGTTCCGCTGCCTCCTCGACAACACCTCCGGCTTCTTGGTGAGTTCTAAGGATATAATCCGTGAGGAAATTCACCGTCAAGTATAGCTGCCTCCTCGACCATACCTCCGGCTTCTTGGTGAGTTCTAGGAATATAATCCGTGCTGGACTTCACCCTCAGGTTCCGCTGCCTCCTCGACCATACCTCCGGCTTCTTGGTGAGTTCTAGGAATATAATCCGTGCTGGACTTCACCCTCAGGTTTCGCTGTCTCCTCGACAACACCTCCGGCTTCTTGGTTAGTTCTAGGGATATAATCCGTGAGGAAATTCACCGTAAAGTTTCGTTGCCTCCTTGACAACACCTCCGGCTTCTTGGTGAGTTCTAGAAGTATAGTCCGTGCTGGATTTCACCACCAGGTTCCGCTGTCTCCTCGACAACACCTCCGGCTTCTAGGTGAATTACATCATAAGTTGCGAGTGTGTAGTCAAAGCTGTTATAGGTGAGTCAATTTTTTGCCAAGGTGACCCTATCAAAACTTGGATGCCTGTCAGCCGCTGGCTCAGGGTCGCCCCAAATTCTTTTTGCGGTGTAAATTAGAAGCTCTATGTCCGCTTTAGGTTCCGGTTGCCGGAGCGAAATAAGCGCCGAAAGAGAATCTTGTGAAATACCCGTCGAGCTTGGGGCGATCGTGGGGCNCGTACACGCAATGCAAGAGTGTTGAAACGCTAGCGTGTTGATAAGTTCGTACCCATGCACAATGCGCACGCAGCGCCACAACTAAAGGCAGGGGCTAGTCGCGCTCGCGCTATAAGAACTCAGGCCAGCTACTGAGCAGGGTAAGCCAATGGTGACCTGGCCAGCCGCTGATTTCGTCTGTCATTTGACCCTTATATTTTTTCGCATGAAACTACCCTAAATAGCTCCTACTGAGCGGCTAATTATGAGATGCGGCCATTTCACATCTGAATCATCTCTAATCCGAGACTGACAACCGAAACCAGACCGTCTGCCGCGGCTAAATTTTGACAGGGGAGCCAATTATTGGACATAATTGTTCACAGGGATTGAAAGTAGATAATGAATTATATTGTGACAAATCTTATGTGTATGCAATCTTCCCTTTTTTATACTTTGCCCATCCTTAGCCCTATATAGTGAGTCTATTCTCATCCATGATAAGTCTACTCTTAGCCACATACGGGGAGTCTATTGTCATTCATAGTAAGTTCATTCATTCTAACTCAATTATTGACTATGCATGTCTAGCCAATCCATGAGATGGGTGCGATAGACAGTGCATGTTCTGAATTATCGAATGTCAAGCGGCCAAGATGTGGTTTGCGCTAACATTTCCACGGAACTCCCGTCTCCTGTAGCGACTTTGCCACATTAATTCTCCGACGACTTGGGTGGTAGAGTTGCGCAGAACCAATCAGACACAACATGATGACCTATATTTGTGTTGTGCATGACCAATAGAACCAACACGATGAACCACGTCTTAGTTATGTATTTATCGATCAGAACCATCGCGAGAAATCGCATCTATGTTTTGCAGAACCAACTAGAACCAACATGATCCGCATATACATTGAATTGAGTGAGACTCCTTTAGTCCTTGTCTTGATTACTCGTGTTCGGTTCTAGACTTTACCGCAGTTACTCGTGTCTGAACCCGGAAATCGTTATGTACGACTTAGTTGGTGCTCACATATATTTACTTGCGTTCCTAACTTGACTAAATTCATTATGTAGAACGACCTGCGAGTTCAACGCTCTACTGTGTACATTGAAATATTCTCGAATATATTATTTTCGAAAATTAAAACGTCGAAAAATAAATAGTAAATCTTCGTAGGCTCATCTTCGCAGTAAATCTTCGTAGGCTATCGAAAACTCCACGGTGATTGAAATGATGCTCTGAAAAGTGACATTCGAGTTCGTGTTTTGCTCAGTGATTGCTGCAAATATTGATCAACATGGTGTTAGTAAGAGAGTTTTGCTTTTTGTTATTAGATATGTATATAAATCATGCATATTCTTGATTCTTTCAAACGAAAGGTCTCTTTGCTAAGAATAAAAGAAAGTTATCAAATTTTTCATTTAAAGCTTAACCAAATTATACTTCGGTTTCAAGTAAAATTGTTCACCATGAGAGCGATGTTCCGTTGCGAGTAGTCGTTTAATATTAAAAAAATTAACAACTTCCTGCTAAGTAAACCATTATGCTCATTTTGCGACTATTTTGCGGTGAATTCCATGTTATTCTGGGGCCGCGGATGTATAATTTCCAGCTAGCCCAAGTCGAAACAAAAGTCGAAATCCAAATAAAAAAAAGTGGTGCATGTGATTATCCCATGTTATCCAAGGTCTATGCAATACTCGTATAATGAACAATTTTCATGGCTGCATGAAGTTATGCTGTATTGTAGGGCTGTCAAATGCTTGATGTTTGATTGCAGGCAAACGGGGCTGAAATCGTATGTGGCTCAGGAACAGCAATCCTTCAGGCATCGAATAGCCATCAAAAATTGGCGTTATGTCATCAAATGTGCGTCAAATATTTTTTAAGTTATTTCTTTTCGAAAAACGTCGGTACATGAATACAAGAATGTGTTATTATTTTAGTTTTTTCCCTCGCCTATGACTGTCGTTTGTCTGTTCTATTTTAGAACAAACTCAATCGATTTTTCTTTCAATTTCAGAATTATTATGATGAATGAAATGAATGGTTACATCAAACGACAATATTACAGTATTACAATAAAAAATCTTTTGAATTTTTTAAGTTAAATTTGGAAGTTTTTCAAGATCAAATTAAAATTGATGGATCTGCTATAATCCTTACGGTCGTCATGTAACTATATACGCATGGTTTATCCTTTCACTGAATTATCTCAATCTTACTTTTAAAAATTATAATATTTTACCAGTCTTTAATCATAAAGATATGTGTGAGGATAACATTTATTAAAATCGCATGTTTTTAAATCGTTGAAGAAGTAATCATCTGCTTGAAAATTATGAAAAGAATAACGCATCGTGATTGTGTTCTGCTGATTCATACCAATCACAAAATATTCAGGTGGTATTTACTTATTTACAGGAAAATATTGTATAGTTGCATTGCACTCAAGTGCATTTATTTTTTTGCTGCAGAATTTTTCTAGTAAAATATTTTATTCTGTCACATTTATAATTAATCGATAAAATTTAAAATAAAATATTTCAACAGATAAATCAGTTATCAAGGTAAAACTCATCATGAAAGTATTGCTCAAATGTATAAATGGTCACACCATGTATAAATGTCAAATGTGTCACCAGTATAATATCAAGTCAGGTCTTATATTCTTATATTTAAATTAAAGGAACGTTATATGCTCTTCATATCCTGACAGTCCTTCATTCGTACGTAGATATCATCGGTAAAGCGAGGGCGGGTGAACATTCAAGAACCCAATAACGACCATGTACGCAATAGAACCTTACCATACTCGACTGCGATCCCTCCTACCAGGAATCTTACGTTGAAATAACGTTGAATAAACGTTGCCTCAATGTATTCAACTCATAATCAGCGAGTTGATTCAGCGTCAATTGGCTAGAGGGCTAAGACTCGACCTGCCTTCTCTGATTGCTGCAATTAACGTGTAGACTTGGCTGGCATTCAACGGTCGACGTGGGGGGCACTCGAACGTCTCTTAACTGCACTAGGAGAAATGTGTGAGCCTTTTTCCAAACATTAATGCACTTTTCTCTCCTGTGTGTGCGTCATCTTGCCACAATTTGGCCCTGATAAATTACGTATTAGTGAAACGTTTGGAAAGTGTATCACTATTTGAACAGTATGACCCGTTCATATTATTGAGTGTTGGACATCGTTTGGGCAACGCCCTGCTCGTCTAGCTGCCATGCATGAGCTCGAGTTTCATGAACACTCCAGTCCGAAAAAAAACATGAGACGAGATTAATGTAATTTTTGGGTGCACTATTGGTTTTTGATATTATGCACTCTAGATTTTTTTAACATCTTGCGATTTTTAGCAGGTTGATTTTAATTAATTAATTGTCAATTTCAACTACAGTTATATGGTTGTTGGTGATGACGAAAATTAACTGTTTTCTTGGATTTCGGATCGGTATAGTTGTTTGAACTCGATTACTCAAGATATTACGAATACGATTCGGTGTAATGAAGGCAGGATAATATTTTATTCTGCCTCAAATGAATTAAAACGGAACAGAATATGAATAATTGACGAAAGTTTAACGGTGTTATGTCCCCGTTAACCTATTGATATTTTGTGTGGAATGGCTTAATATTTCATGGTTATTATTTTCACTTTCATGGTTTATTGATTTTCGGCGTTTTTTTATCACCGCTCCCTAAAAATCTCGTTAAATTCAGTTAATTGTTTGAATTTTCTATACAATTTCGCTAAATTGCTAATTTTCTGCTATTATGCACTAAGAATAATCATATTCATCTCTGACATCTCCGCTTAACTCCATTCCTGACTCGAGCCACAGGAATAAAATTTCAGATTCCATCTTCTCTCTTTGAATTTACTATTGAATCGTGACCCCATTCTGTGAAGCGTTGGCTCTTCAAGTCTCAATTCTTTTTATAAAGTTTGTGCGGCTTCGGCAAGAAAGCAGCAACTAGAGACGCACCAATACGTGCCAATTGACATCAAGATTGGTCTGAGTTCAACATAAATTTCCTCGAAGGCTTAGTTTTGGTCCTGCCAGAGAGGTCTGATCCCAGGCGTCCGCGATGCTGTCGGTTGTGAGCGCGGCTCTAACGTCGTCTTGACATGACATGGCGACCTCCGATGAGCGGTCGACGTGGGTTTAACATTTCTAAATTCAAAATTTAGAAATGCCCTACTAATTACGGGGCAATACCGTAACATTGCTGAGATTGAGATTAACGAAAAAAGCCTTTCTAATTACGGGGCAATACCGTAACATTGCTAGGCATTCTTGTAACGACGGTGCAGTACCGTAAAATTGCGGGGCATTTCTGTAAGGATGACGGGCTGTACGGTAACATTGTAGGGCAATGTCGCAACATCATGAGGCAAATACCGTAACACTGCCTATAGTAGTACCGTAATTTTGTTGAGTAGTACCGTAACAATGCCGGGCAGTACCGTATTATTGCCAAACAGTAACGCAACATTGCTGAGTAGTGTTAAAACATAGTCGGAAATATCGTAAAATTGCCTGGTGTACCGTAACATTGCCGGGAGTACCGTATCATTGCTCAGCAGTAGCGTATCATTGCTGAGCAGTACCGTAACATTGCCGGCAGTGCCATAACGTTGTGAGGCAGCTCTGCAACGTCCCGGAAGTTTATATCTGCATTTACGTTTTTCTCTGTTGTCACGATGGTTAGGGATTTTTGAAGGGCTGCAAAATATTGAGAAAGTTACCTTTCGATTAATTACATATCCTTGATATAATCACTTACAAAGGAGTTCTAAAGGATCCCAAACAACTGCGGTGAAAAAAATTGTGCTTCTTTGTCGTAGTTAATTTTTGGAAAATGCATTTGTGCACACATGATGTGTGCGTGATACTTCATTACATCGTGAAAGACATTTATAACGACGAGGCTAAAAATACTATTAATTTAATTTTCCATAGAAAGATAAACTTTCCCTATTTCGTATGAGTTTTGAAAGTTATAGATCTCAAACCTCGTTTAGAAAATCTAAAATAACAGCATCGCGCTCATGTGCCGCTGTCTCGCTACCCTCATGCCGCCTATATACGCGGCAATTTAACGAGGAAATAGCCTCACATTTAAATGTGGCAATAATGTGGCAATCCAATCGAGACGTGGACAGATCCGTGTTTTTCTACATAACATCGCGGTCAGCCCTCATCTGAGAGACTTGACTCTCGAACTACACTCTATAAGAGGGTAAAGGTGCCTAAATTGCAAGTGAAAGCTTGTCTAATTCTTGTACTGGAAACATAAGCTCGGTATTTCAAATACCTCTTGAAAATTTATGGCGATTTCTATTATTATGAATGGGCCCATGGCCAGCTATTTGCATGTGCTATATGTATGTGCATAATGTTTGGGTATTTCAAATTCACATGTTGCGTGGTTAAAGAGTAAGTAGTAATAAGGAAAAAGATGGACTACCATCAAGATACTAATTAACACTATAGAGAGAACATGTTTGAAAACAATCACAATGCTATAACGTTTATAACGATAATAATAACAATTATAACGATAACAAAAGAAGAAATGATAACACAATAAACTAATGAGGAACGAACAACAATGGTTCTGAAATTTACTGTGTCATGAACGCGCCTTAATTATGAAACTGCACTGATTTTGGCTTCCCAAATGACTATCACTTACATAATGAAAGCTTGTCCACACTCAGACCATCTGGTATCATGGCGTCGTTTTGATATGCAGTTAATTTATTTGAGCCTTTAATATTAGAATGAATGTAATACTGAGTTCTTTTTAATATATATAGGTGAATGTGATACCGATAATCATGTAATATTAGGCTCAACGTAATATTAAGGACCATGTAATACTAAGATCAACGTAATACTGTGGATCAGTGAAATATTAAGGTCAATGTAATACTGAAATCAACATGGTATTATATGGGCACTGTAATAATGAGATGCATGTTAATAAAAAATTATGATTACTGTCATTGCTCCACGATATAGAGTCTCTTATACACGTGCCAGAGAATCTTTAACTCTTCAATTGAAATAAATGGAAATAATTTGGTAATTGAGTGCATTAGAAACTGCTTTAAAATTCAAATGATTTTTAATGATTCCAATTACGGGAGCGCGTTTCCGTGTTTAGCATCTGCAGGAGTGCAAGGCTCCCGTAGCTTCCACTCACAGGCACAATTGCACATTTGCAACGATCGAAGAAACCCGCGGCCTTCAATTAAAATCAACAATCATAGATACAGGCAACCGCAAGGGCCTCAATCCCGGCTTAATTTTTAGCTAAGTGAAATCTTAGGGCCGTTGTTTGCAGCTTTAATGCAATGAGGTCTCATTTCCACTTCCTCTGGGCCGGGGCAATAAATTTACCGGCTAATCAGACTATAGTTGCTATGGACGCAACTACATGAGACTTACCTCGCAAGCCTAGGCTCTAATTAGAAGTTTTTTGTTTCGCTCGATGATTTAGCGGCTCCGGCATCCCTGCTACTGATGCCGAGCACATCAAATGATGTAGCAGCTCCGGCATCCCTGCTACTGATGCCTAGTACATCAAATGATGTAGCAGCTCCGGCATCCCCGCTACTGATGCCGGGCACATCAAATGATGTAGCAGCTCCGGCATCCCTGCTACTGATGCCGGGCACATCAAATGATGTAGCAGCTCCGGCATCCCTGCTACTGATGCCGGGCACATCAAATGATGTAGCAGCACTAGTATCCCTGCTACTGATGCCTAGTACATCAAATGATGTAGCAGCTCAGGCATCCCTGCTACTGATGCCGAGCACATCAAATGATGTAGCAGCTCCGGCATCCCTGCTACTGATGCCGAGCACATCAAATGATGTAGCAGCACTGTAATATCCCTGCTACCGTTACCGTCGCTCATATTCTGGCGTAACGCAGGCTGCAGTTGACGGGTGTTCTTTTTTTTGATTCGCATTTCCATCAGCTCGCTTCTTCCATTCTTAATTTGCTCTTACTCTTTCCTCTTATCGCGTTAAATCTATTTATTTGTTAGTCAATATGTAGTTGAATTAATTTCTTCATCATGCAAACACACTGCCTTGATAAACTTTATTATTTGATCTTCAGTATTTTACTCTCTTTGGTGTACTTTTCAAGCTAATTCAGCATTTTATTGCCGCATTCTCTTTACTGTATATAGTTTTTAAGCTAATTATCTGTTGTATTTTTAATACTTTTGTTTGGCCAGCGTCTGGACATCCGTGGTCGCGTGAAGGTGCTGGTGGGGCAGAACCGCAAGACCGAGGAGGGGGCCCCGCTGGCCCTCTTCGCCGTGTGCACGCCCTTCGGCCCTCCCTCGCTGCTCGAGCTCCCACAGAAAGAAGTCATGTACAAGTCCAAGCACAAGCTCGACCTCAGCCTCGTCTCCATGGACCAGAGGTCAGGCCTAATCTACCAATAAATTACGAGTAAATGAATAATGATACAATACAATACAATGCTATTCAATACAATTCAATACAATACAAGACAAGACAATACAATACGATACAAGACAATACAATACTATACAAGACAATGCAATGCTATTCAATACAATAAATTATAAGGCAATAAGATAATGCAATAATAATTACAATAAATGCAATATTGTAAAAGTTATGGTTACTGGTTGTCCGATACTCGATCGCTAATGCCGCATTTTTGTGGTAATTGAACATTTTTTATTGGAAACACAATTAGACGCTTGTAGTCACATTAAAGTTTTATGCACATTTTTTCTGAACGTCCTTGTTAGATACTGCAAAGCATAGTATGCGTACAATATTGATATGCGACAAAAAATGAAGCACAAAATGTATAGATATTATAAAGTTCGGAACATACGTATAATTATAATTCGCTTAACATTGCTCGGTAAAAAACTTGAGTGATAAACTTGGCCGTTTACATCTCTGACATGCGTTAGTGTGGAAATGTAATTAGGGCGAATATCCATGCAAAAAAAACAATTGGCCAACTTATTCATAAAAAAAAAAGGTTATCCTCGAAAATTCTACATAAAAAGTTTAGTTAGTTTAATAAAAGTTTAGTAGCTGACTTCCGGCGCTCTCATTGTAAGAGAAAATAGAAGCCGAAATTAAATGAAATGAAATTGTGTATAACGAAACTTTTTCAGTTTTAATATTGTTTGCTGTTTATTCATTTCTTGAATGCATGCGTTTGCTTTATCAAGTAGGTGAGATTAATGACAAATTAAAGTGACATGAATTATTTTTACAGGTTCACCATTTTGACTGGAATGCACTTTTATTGATGTGAATTTTCGCAGTTTTTCAATTTATTTGTGTGCTTTTTCATAGTATTCGATTATAACATGTGTATATAATAATATCAAATCCTAAATCTGCGATTGGTATTATAGTAATAGCAGTATTTTGCGTACTCTACCGTAAAAATATTATGGCACTTATATCGCAAGTAATTTACTTCAAATTTTAATTTCGATTTCACTTATTGCAATTCTTCTTACAATATTCTTATCCTATCACTTGAATAAAAATTTATTTTCATCAAGCGTGATTATGAAAAAATAAGCTTTAAGCCCCTAAACCCATCAACGTCTGGTAAATTTAAATTAGTTGTGAAATTCAGAGAAGTTTTTTTAATCCAATTTCAAATTTAAAAAAATAAATCTTTCAAAATTAAAATTTAATTTTTCATTTTTCCAAATGCATTTAATAGTATTTACTTACTGACTCAAAAACTTTACACGTAGCGCGTTCAAGAAAACTTTCATTCTACTTCCACAAAAAATTGGCTCGAATACATCGATAGCTGTTAGTGTTAGTATCCATTTAGCCATCCAATGCGAAGAATACAATCAACTATACTGTACTTATCAATTGCAATCTGCCTATCACATATTGTTCTAATAGAGTATAGGAACTTTCTTTCTCGGAATCATTTAACCAACTTCCAATCATCTTCTGTAGTTTGAAATAATTTTTACCCACAGTGAGATAGAAATTGCCTTACTTTAATTGCATGCTTCCTAGTCATGCTAAAATTGCCAGATACAAAGGAGATTCTTTCTGAAAATTTTTTAATACCAATTCGGAGCTGCTCCGATCGACGTTACTTGATAGCTGTTTTTAACATCTGCCAACGTTAGATTCCGCTTCTTCCAGCACTAATTCAGCTTACTATTCCAGCCAGAAACAGACACACTGATATTCTTTGTTATCTAAGTCCGCCAGAATTCGATCAATCTGCAATTGTCTGCAATTGAGACACCCGGGATTATCATCTGCAATTTCCATATTTTCGGCACCTAAATGATCTTCTAAGCTGTCCCTGCTGGACACTAGTAATGCACGGTTGGATCTGGTGCCAATATTGGGCTACGGAATTATCACGACCTTTTCTATTTATTTGATACCATAAATCAAGTCTTGTGATTGCCGTGTCGTTCGTGTGGGACAGGAGTAGCTGAGATTTGCAGATATCGCTTCGGTTTTTGCGCTGCGGTGGTAGGTTGTATTTACCGTACTAATACTATACCGGTCACCTCGTACGTATATTTAATGTACAGGACAATTACGCAAATCTTGGAAGCTATTGTACGACAAATTTTCAATACTAGCTGTTTGAATTGAAAATCAATTATTATTTCATTTTTCGAAAGGAGTGGAACGAATTTTAATTCTGATATATAGTATTTGTTGGCCGAAAGAATGAGATTGTATACTGCATTTTGCTGATTTTCATTGACAGATAAGGATTTTATCGAGCTCTTGATGTTACTTTATTATATGAGAAACTTTTGAACACATTACGTTATTTGCGCACATTTTAAACCCGTTGGGTTCATTTATTTAACCTCAGTTTGAGAGCAGAAAACTTTACTGATATAACTGGCAGCCTACACCGAGCATGCTGCCTTGCGCGTGCAAAGGTAAATCAAGTTCCTTCTTTTTATTACTTAATCACAAGAGAATTTAATTTAGATAATCCTAATAAGAAAAACATTGTTTATCTTTTCTCATTCGGTTTGTCGCATGCATTATTTTTTGCGTTGCCAAGATTTCACTTAAAATTTAGAATTTTAGAAACAAAAGTTATAATAAGAAACATTTTCGATATAAATGAGTCTGAAACTTATTCTAATAAGTAACTCTAAACTTAATTAAATTATTTTTGATAATTGGTCAATAGATGATTTCATAATTGTATTCATATATAGAGTATTCCGATCATACAATATACTGATGTTCTGCCAGAGGTACGACCTTGAGCGCTGGACTCCGACTTTAAGCCATCTTTCGCATCCGTGGTCTATTAATCAGCGGCCGCCAAATTCCCTACGATAATCTATTTATATCATCTATTATATCACCTCAATTAATATATGATAGTCAGTGCGGAATTTTCGATGGCCGGAGATCGGCCACTGAAGTACCATTCTATTTGAGTTCAATAATACATAGACGATCTCGAAATAGCCGACTCAAGCCTCAGATTTCCAACATGTACAAGTTTTCTAAGGTATGATATTGGCGACCACTCTTTTATTTTGTTTCCCTATTTGTGAGTGAGGTTTGGGCTGCACTGTGATGGATAAATTACCGACCAGTCAGCGGCTAATGGCAGCCTGTATGAATTTCCATTAGCTAAGGTGGGGCCGCGATCCGCGCTCGCGAATAGACGGATAGACAGACAGACGGCAACGCGGTACTGACGGCATCACAGACAGTTTATGCCATACATAGGTGTGGCGACTGGGCTATTTATGTCTATACATAGCTATGTGGCTATGTATATGTATATATACATAAATAAGTATACATATGCATATATATTTATGCATATGTATAGGTCTGCATACATATTTATGCATAATTAAAAGAACAAGAAAGGTTGAAAGAGGATGAAAATTAAGTATAGGTCTGCACACTTATTGGTGCAAATACCAGGCATGTCTTTGCATATGCATAGGTCTGGATATCTATGCAGATAAATAGGTGTGGTTATTTTTTGATATACATGGATGTTCATTTATTATGTTTGAAACCAAAATTTTATTAATAAGAAAATTATTACTAAAATACATTTTCTGGTCTTCAACCGAATGTCTGTAAAAAACAATTTTAGTCTAACGTTACAAATATACATGGATTTTTGTACATGGCTGTTATACAAATACATAGGCATTTCTATTTATAATTATGAATATGCATGGATGTTCACGGTACCGGGAAGATCAGTGAATATCCAAGCTAAGATGAGAACATCCATAAGTGTGCACATACATGACATGCACACTGTACACAGGACTGAATATATCGTGCATGTTGTACACCAAGTGCGCATTTTGCGCCTACATGCTGCCGTCAATGAAGCCAAGTGAAAGTGACTGTTCAAATTGACTGTGAATGTGACTGTACAAAATGACTGTGAATGCGACTGTACAAAGTGACTGTACAACGTGAATTTGAATGTGACTATACAAAGTGAGTGTGAATGTGACTGTACAAATGTGTGTGTCCATAGACATGAATAACCTCCCTCTAAAACAGCTTGCTAACCTTTGCCAATAATTTTAACGCATAAACGTGTGTATGACACATACAAATGTTCGTCTATGTGTTGAAGCTAGGAAAACTAAAACGAACAGCTAGAGAAACTTGAGTAATATTTCCCAGCACGCATATGAATATCAACAGACCGTGATATGTGCACTGTGATATCTATGAATATCAACAGACTGTAATATCTACCCATTTATAATTATTTTTTACTCACTTTTTATAACATATATGCAATCTAGCATCGCCGCTCTGTTTCTGGCATAGTATTTTAACTATATTTATGATTCAGAAATTTTTCTTTGCTTCCGACGCTTTGTTCACGGTCTGTTATTTTCTCTCTGTTCACGACCCCATTATTTTCTCCCTGTTCACGGCCTCCTTATTTTCTCCCTGTTCACGGCCTCCTTATTTTCTCCCTGTTCACGGCCTCCTTATTTTCTCCCTGTTCACGGCCCCGTTATTTCCTCCCTGTTCACGGCTCCGTTATTTCCTCCCTGTTCACTGCCCCGTTATTTTCTCCCTGTTCACTGCCCTATTATTTTCTCCCTGTTCACGGCCCCGTTTTTTTCTCCCTGTTCACTGCCCCGTTATTTTCTCCCTGTTCATTGCCCCATTATTTTCTCCCTGCTCACGGCCCCATTATTTTCTCCCTGCTCACGGCCCCGTTTTTTTCTCCCTGTTCACGGCCCCGTTTTTTTCTCCCTGTTCACGGCCCCGTTATTTTCTCCCTGTTCACGGCCCCGTTATTTTCTCCCTGTTCACGGCCCCGTTATTTTCTCTCTGTTCACGACCCCATTATTTTCTCTCTGTTCACGACCCCATTATTTTCTCCCTGTTCACGGCCCTGTTATTTCCACCCTGTTCACGGCCCCATTATTTTCTCCCTGTTCACGGCCCCGTTATTTTCTCCCTGTTCACGGCTCCGTTATTTACTCTCTGTTCACGGCCCCATTATTTTCTCCCCGTTCACGGCCCCATCATTTCCTCCCTGTTCACGGCCCCGTTATTTCCACCCTGTTCACGGCCCCATTATTTTCTCCCCGTTCACGGCCCCATTATTTTCTCCCCGTTCACGGCCCCATTATTTTCTCCCCGTTCACGGCCCCATTATTTTCTCCCTTGTCTCTTATACACATCTAGATGTGTATAAGAGACAGCATCCGTGGTCTATTAATCAGCGGCCGCCAAATTCCCTACGATAATCTATTTATATCATCTATTATATCACCTCAATTAATATATGATAGTCAGTGCGGAATTTTCGATGGCCGGAGATCGGCCACTGAAGTACCATTCTATTTGAGTTCAATAATACATAGACGATCTCGAAATAGCCGACTCAAGCCTCAGATTTCCAACATGTACAAGTTTTCTAAGGTATGATATTGGCGACCACTCTTTTATTTTGTTTCCCTATTTGTGAGTGAGGTTTGGGCTGCACTGTGATGGATAAATTACCGACCAGTCAGCGGCTAATGGCAGCCTGTATGAATTTCCATTAGCTAAGGTGGGGCCGCGATCCGCGCTCGCGAATAGACGGATAGACAGACAGACGGCAACGCGGTACTGACGGCATCACAGACAGTTTATGCCATACATAGGTGTGGCGACTGGGCTATTTATGTCTATACATAGCTATGTGGCTATGTATATGTATATATACATAAATAAGTATACATATGCATATATATTTATGCATATGTATAGGTCTGCATACATATTTATGCATAATTAAAAGAACAAGAAAGGTTGAAAGAGGATGAAAATTAAGTATAGGTCTGCACACTTATTGGTGCAAATACCAGGCATGTCTTTGCATATGCATAGGTCTGGATATCTATGCAGATAAATAGGTGTGGTTATTTTTTGATATACATGGATGTTCATTTATTATGTTTGAAACCAAAATTTTATTAATAAGAAAATTATTACTAAAATACATTTTCTGGTCTTCTGTCTCTTATACACATCTAGATGTGTATAAGAGACAGATTATATCCTCCCTGTTCACTGCCCCATTATATCCTCTCTGTTCACTGCCCCATTATTTCCTCACTGTTCACTGCCCCATTATTTCCTCCCTGTTCACGGCCCCATTATTTCCTCCCTGTTCACGGCCCCATTATTCTCGCCCTGTTCACGGCCCTGTTATTTCCTCCCTGTTCACGGCCCCATTATTCTTCCACCTTATCCACTGCACAGTTAACAGTCCACTCCCCCCCTCCTGTTCACGCACCTGTTCCCCAACAGAGGCAAGCTGTTGCTGGGCTACAGTGACCTGGAGCTCGCCAACAAGGGCGGCTATGACCTCGTCCACTACGATGACCTCGCCTACGTCGCCTGTGCGCACCAGGAACGTGAGTGTCATGACCTCTAATAGCATAAGAGTGACCTCGTTTATCATATGAGTGACCTCTTTTTGTATATGAGTTATATTTTCTATCATAAGAGTGACCTCGGTTATCATATGAGCGACCTATTATTGTATAGAAATGATATCTTCTATCGTAAGAGTGACCTCGTTTATCGTAAGACCAACCTTTTATGGTATATGAGTGACATCTTCTATCATACGAGTGATCTCGTTTATTATAAGAGCGACCTCTAATAAAAGGCAACCTCGTCTAAAATAAAGGCAACCTTATGAAAAGATGTGCAGTCTGTTTCAAAATAAGGATGACCTCTTCTAAAATATGGATGACCTCTACTAGAATAAGGGTGACCTCCATTGGAATCAAGTTGAAGTCGCCTAAGACGAGAGCAGCCTCGTCTAAAGTAAGGGCGACATCGTCTGAAATAAATACAAGATAAACAGATCGAAGTATACATTATAGACGAATTACGTACGGCCAATTACTGGCCTCAGAAAAGGCAGCTATGATTCTAACGTATAGATTTATCTCTAGTTATTCTGTAACTTCCAAAACATTTATTGCATTACAAGTTTATTCCCACAACTGCATTTAATTAAGATCATTAAGATAATAATTAAGGAGAATTATAAGAAAATAAGGGTTTCTTCTTCTTAATGTTTAATATTTCAATGAAATAATTCTCATTTAATCATTTGTTATCTAAAAGTTGCAGTTAACAAAGAGTAACATTACAATTCAACAAGAAGTTATTGGCTTCCACCTATTGAAACTTTTTGTCGATGCCAAAGAGTCGTGAATTTTCAACTGCTAACAATTACCCCCGGCAATTTGCTTGATGACAAAACTTGCGCCCATGAAATGTTTACTCTGCATCGATTGCAAGTTCCATGTTGAAAAGTTCTTTCATTCCTAAGTTTTTCATCGACACATGACTTTTTTATGGTTTATTAAGACATTCGGCTTCACGACATAAGTTTGAAATTTAAAATCGCTAATTTCATTCTTCGATTCTTTGTTGAAAATTAAAACTATCATAGAATTTTCGCCATGCAAATTCTTTGTTTGTTTCTAAAAAATGAATAAAATTAATTGAAAGCAATAAAATATTGGAAATAAAAGGAAAAAATATTTTCCTTAGAAACAAAAGCTTAAAAACTGACTGAATTTTTTATTAAAAAATCTGGTGCAAATTTTATTCCTCTAAAGAGACAAAAAAAATCGAGAAAAATTTAACCGTAAAATCGAACGAGTCTACGGATATACTCTGCCACATTCAACATCCAATCTACGTTCAATTCTTATCCAACCAACAAAGCACACAGACAACCAAAGTTTAAATTATGATTTACTTTTTATAACTATATGATTATATATGATTATATTTTTTATATGATTCACTATCATAACAATAGTTATGATAGTTTCGAAATTCGGCTGTTTTCAATTCAGATCAAGAAATAAGATTCTTCTTATCCTTCTTTCATCTACTCAACTAGATTCGCATCAAATTAGTCGCTGGTAATTATTAGTGCCGCCATTCAAAAGTTTGATTTTTTTAAAAACTCGGACACTTTTAGAAGTCTGTTTATTGTCTCCGGGAATTTTAGTATGAAAATTTACTCGACTGTTGATATAAATAAAGTCACCGTGCCTCTGTGAGCCTACATTAACGGTGAATTAAAATCATTCATTGTAATTCTACCCATGATATGCGTTTTGTCACAGTTCTAAAGTACGCCAATGAAATTGTAAAACTCATAAACGGTATTTTTTAGCCTCAATGCATGTGTGCATCCGTTAATGTGAAGTGCATCCGGTTAAAATCTTAACTCTTAAATGTTATTTATCAATAAACTAGGCATGATTATTTTGTTAGCTGATATCATTCCGATGAGATTCCAATGTTCAACTGGGATTGAGTTGATTTTTATCCCAATGTGAATTTGCACGTGAATTAAAAGGACCGTAGTCGTTGCAATGAAGAATCGTAACGATAAATAAATAGGTTGGATGTAGAGATTAGATAAATATATAATTTTTTATCATATAAAGATAACAAATACATTTAGAAATTTGTGGGCCACTGAAAGAGGTTTCCAGTATATTGAATTTTCATTGTTAGTTCCTTTACCCAAATTCGAGTGCAATACGAAAAAATTGTACGCCACTTTTTGATGTTAATTCGTACCTAATGTTACACGTGCTAATCATACGCGTACATTTCCAAAAATTATTTTTATTTTTTGTCAAAAAAACGAGTCCAATAATGACGATATAGGTTCTCCCTCTTCTCCTAAAATGACTATTATTCATTATAGGAACAATACATTACAATTCAATACATTACAATGAATATTATTCATTTTAGGAAGTGATCATGCATGAGCTTCAGGATGATAACTCACATATGAGTAAGTTTTTATAGATGTTGGGGTGTTACTAGGAAAGTATGGAAAAGAACAAAAGGTGGCACAGACTGGCCAGAACGAGGAAGAGGAAATGTAAAAGACCGTATGAGACGAAGAAAGACTCATAGCGCATAATTAGGCTTCTTATTCTTATAAGTGTACAAGGTTTACTTGGGTTTGGGATGAGTGAGTTAAGCTCCTGATGAGTCTAGCTTCTTCCAACGACCACTCAACTTTGATCTTCACTCATTCCAGAAGTTGATCAATTGAGACACTGATTTAAAATGCTGATCGACATTAAGTATCGCAGAGTTACATAAAATTTAAAAATTAACACGAGCTATAACGTGACTCCTTCAAACAAATCTGATTCATTTATCACAATGAGATGGGCACGCGTTGCAATATCTTTAGGAAAGTCAGATAAAGAGGAAATTTCGTCAGTTTTACGTACAGTCAAGCTGGCTTTTCATGGCAACGTAATTCAATCGAAAATCTCATTCTGAAAAAAATTCATTTCATTCATCAAATTAATTTTTTCAAGCGGTAACTTAATTTGAATAATGAAATTTTTAATTTTTGATGATGAATTTTATAATTTTTCGTGATGAAACTTCAAGCGGCAACTTAGTGCTTCACGCACTTAACGTAGTTTAGTGCACTTAACGTAGAACAATTGTGACTAATACTTAATGAACTACTGTAATTGCGACCGCGCAAAATACTCTCATACACACGGAATGAAGGCATACATCCTTACTTAAGTACTTCCTGAATCAATGAGAGTATGCCGCGCATGTACAGGGGATTACCTGCTGAATTTTAAACGGACGTTACGCAGCCAGTGTCTGCACAAGCTGCATAATTTCGTTCAAGATTACAGGCCGTATTTGATGTAGCAATAAACATTACATTCACATTGATGTAGACACACATGCACGAGACTGACATCATTTATAAACTTGGTATGATAAGATATTTACAACTGAAACGATCATGTGATGGGATTTTTAGTGCTCTGCAGTAGTTACTAGATTGCAGTTGTAATTTATTCCGTATACGTTTGAGTGCACAGTGCGTTTGGTGCTTATTTAAATATACTCTGAATAATTAATTATATGTGATTATTTAAGGACAGAGCAATTCAATGAGCGTCTTTATTCATTTTCGTTCCGCGGCTCACGTGAAATAATGAATTAATTTTCAAATCGTAACAAATGGTCATGTAGCTAAGCTTATCCATTAATACCAAAAAATTTTATTTCAAGAAAGTAGAACCGACTAAATTGGACCTGATGTCAACATCTTTGAGTGTAATTATAGACTGTACACGAACATCACTCATTACCGACCATTTAATTTCCAGCCTTCAATGGCGTCTTCCATCTTCTTTACGAAAAGCTTACGTGCAAAAATAAATTTTTAATGCTCCATATATTACTGCAATTTAGTAATTTTTTTCTAAGTAATTTTTTTGAATAATTTTTTGTGATTTTACTGTAAAGTTGAGAGCACGAGTCTCATCATGAAAAATATGTAAAATTTCGAATTTTTCACAATTCGAATGTAAAATTCTTTAAAAATGTGCAAGCGTTTTAATTACAATAGTGCATTTTTCGAGGAATATGAAATACGAAGATCACGTATACTATAGGCGAATATAGTGAATATTTTAATGTTCGCCTTTCATCAATCAATCATAAATTTCTATATTAATGCGTTGACAAACGTCAGTTTTTTATACAATCTAATGAACTCGTTTTTATCGTCTTCTATGCGCGCGAGTAAAGCGTCATAACACTAATCATATACGCGATCAAACATTACTATTACAATAGATTATGGCGTCTAATATTTCGTTACACATTTTAACACCCGCATAAAAACCATCACATCGTCGGCTATTGCCGAGCCTAAGACACGCACATCTGCAAGACCCAGCGTCCGGGGTCTTAAATGTGTAAGTTGAATAAGTATATTCAACCTACACATTTATTGTTTACCCACATGTCTGTCTCTGTAGAAACAAGTGGTTCATATGAGTCATTTGTGAATAAGTTAATATGAAGCTTCCATACGAGTCATTTGTTAATAAGTTAATATGAAGCTTCTCGAGCTTTGTGATGATATTGTTTTAACGTCGAGTTATTGTTTTAATAATTTAACATCGAGTTTAAATTGTTCTAACAAACGTCTAGATCACTCGATAGTTATCGTGCAAAAATAATTATTATTAATTGAATGTGAAGGAGCTAATACAAGTACGAATTGAGAATACGTGCGAAGACTTTGCACTGTTTTTCATGTGGAGCCCTAATCTGCTTAGCTCAGTTACAACGCGTAATAATAATAATAATATATTTTTAAAGTTCTTTAAATGAAGATAAAGCAATAATGTCAAGGCACGCTTCGTCTGTATTTGCTTTGCATTAATTTTTTTGTCTCAGGTACTTGAGTTTCAGTATCGATAATGATACCTCGGCAGCCAATTTACCTGTGAATAAATGAAAACTCATCAGTGGTAGCGACTTGCTACAGCAAACTGAACTTTGGTTAGTCTTTAATATTCCCTCATATCGCAACGCTCTCGAATTTATGAACGAGCGCCGAATGAACGCATACGACATTCAAGCTGTGGTGGTTCGAGAAGCAGCGCCCTCTATCGATCAGTTAAACAAGCTTTGGCTTCATTTCATAGTTAGGTGGCAATTGACGTGGCTTGCTTTACGACAGGTTGATTAGAACCGTCTGGCATGATCGACCTCTGGCTCTTATGGCCTTACTTTGCTATAGGGTCATTCCAGTGCCTATTGCTGCTGCTGTCTCAAAATCATGCACGTTCTTTTTTAATATTCCTTTGCATTTTCATTCCTCTCGAATGTTTCCATAGCTTCTAAAGTGCTTGCGAAACTTCAGCATTCCATTGCTTACAAAAAGAAAGTTTAAATTGTAACAATTTATAACGTGAATAACATTTTTGAAAAATTTTAATAACTCGATTAGGAAACAATACTTCTATGAAGCTTTATTTGTCTTTCTGATTGGCAGTGCAGTCATCAATTTGATTAATAATCAAAGTATGCCTTCAATAAATAATAGATAGAATTTTTACAAGTAATAAATTGAAATCTATGTCAAGTTCATATAAATCCAGTTATGAAAGACTCTAATGATCATGAAGAATAATTAGCGACCAATGTAGCAATAAATTGTAAAATGAGCAAAATATATATATATATACATATATATAATATAAATAGATAAATATAAACACAATAAAAAATTTTATATAGAGAACAACTAATGTCATGCAGTCATGAAACACTTCTCAACTCGAAATAGATACTTTGCTCCTAAAATATTAGTCTTTATATTATAAATTTCGAGCCCCAACTTAATTAACTTTACACCATGTTTAATAAAAAAACTTCAATGGTGACTCGTGTGTCGTTTACTTTTTCTATTGGCTGGCTACGTTTAGAGGATCACTGTAGTCAGCGATACCTCAGCAGCGAAATAATCAATGGATAGGTAAACTTTTCCCAGTTTTTTTCACTTTAGATGTGTGACTTATGTAACCGAAAAAACGCACTGAGATGTTAGTATGGCATGACGTTCGTTAAACTAACAAATATCGTTGATCATCATAAAAATTATCTCATTTACTTCTCATACATTAAAATTTGTGTACCTTTCATGTTTTAAATATATTTCGTTTTTCATACGCTCTCCAATTTCAAATTGATGTACTAATTTAATTTTGCTAGGAATGCGACGCTGAATATTTAAGCTACACAATCATAACAGGCGGCGAACACTTATTTAAATTAGAAACTTATTTAATAATACTGTAAAAGTTACCAGTTTTGTTATTTGTGTGCAATAATTTACACAATGTCAAAAGTGAAGCTCTGTGATGTAGTTCACAACTGTCAAGAGCCGGAAATTCCCGACTCTAATTAATTTTATCCATTTAATTTAATCCATTTCATTTTCATTGCCCTGGGTCATGATGAACTGTAGCTCGATAATTCGTTTAGATTAATTCGATAATTCTATTTGAATGCAAAGAACATAACCGAGTGAGCAGAATTTTTATTAAAGCGAATAGAACATAACAGAGTGAATACAACTTTTATTAGAGTTAATAGAACAGAGTGAACATAATTTTTATTGGAGTGAGCAGAAAGGTACAGAGTGAATATAACTTTAATTATAATGGATCTGTCGTCCCTGAAAATAATTCATGTCATCAAATGAGCGATATTTTGTATGTGTTGTAAATGTAGTGACTATTACTAGTGTATAATTCAAGATCAAATCATTTATCATGGCCTGCAAATTTATAATATAAAAAAATAAGTATTCCTGGATTTACACCCTTCTACATGATACGAGACGGTCACGTTCTCATCTGCGATATGCGACCCGCTAATCACATTCCACGCGGGAGTCTTAATAATTCGAATGTGAATAAAAAAAACGATGTGAAAAATGTGACTCCTCATATATTCGGAGAATCTGTAAATCACCTTCATTTTTGTGAAATTCATACGAAAATTAATGAGTTATGTTCATTTTATTCTCATTTTAGCTCTTCGTCGGCAAATATACTTTTAAATATAACTTAAAAAGCATAATTTCATTTCTAATCGAGATCCATTCATTCGTAAAATGTATGAAAAAATTAAAAATAAATATTTATTTTATGTAACATTTATGCATAACTAAATAACTGAATGGAATTTCATCCAAATTGCGTATAGTCTAAATACCATTTCATGATAAATAGTATTAAATAAAATAATTCAGTGAAAATTTATATATTATAATAAATAATATTTAATAATAAATAACATTGCATCAAATATCTTCATATCCTACCTGTTCTCTTGCTCCGTCAGTTCTGTAGTATTAAATAAAATAATTTAATGAAAATTTATATCTGATAATAAATGATCTTTAATAATGAATAACATTTCATCAAATATCTTCATATCCTACCTGTCTTCTTGCTCCTTCAGTTCTGAAGACAGGAGCGTCAGGGATGATCGCCTACAGACTGCTGACGCGGGATGGCTCCTGGCAGTGGCTGCAGACGTCGTCGCGCCTCGTCTACAAGAACAGCAAACCTGACTTCATTATCTGTACACACCGTCCTCTTATGTGAGAACTGTAGGAACTGTAGGAACTGCTTGTGAGAACTGTAGGAACTGCTTGTGAAAACTGTGGGAACTGCTTGTGAGAACTGTAGGAACTGCTTGTGAGAACTGTAGGAACTGCTTGTGGGAACTGTAGGAACTGCTTCTGAGAACTGTAGGAACTGCTTGTGGGAACTGCCCCCTCATGTGAGAACTGTAGGAACTGCTTCTGGGAACTGTAGGAACTGCTTGTAAGAACTGTAGGAACTTCTTGTTAGAACTGCCCCCTCTTGTGAGAACTGTAGGAACTGCTTGTGAGAACTGCCCCCTCATGTGAGAACTGTAGGAACTGCTTGTGAGCACCGTCCCCTCATGTGAGAACTGGAGGCAGGGTGGCCCAGTGGTTACAGTTCAGGGGCCGTATTATCAAAACTTCGTAAGTTCGCAAAATCGACTTACTTACGAGCGGCGTAAGTGCTGACTTGATAACGTAACTCTAGAGGTGGTATTATCAAAACATTTGCGCGGGAAGATACGTAACGTAACTGTACGCCTGCTCGGAGATAGATAACTGCCTGCCAGTTTCTGGTCAGAATCGGCGAGGAGGCCGGGCGGTTAAGCAAAGCAGAATTGAAGCAGTGTGTATGCGTTTGTATTTTAAGAGCTGTTAATTAGATTAATTCGTATTATTGCAAACAGTCTCCCTAAGCTTGCACAAACAATGGTTCCTTTTTCAGTAAACCTGAGTCGCCAAAGGGTTTAAAAAGCTCTTAAAGTTAACAGTATATAAAATTGAAGACGTCAAGGATTCAACATAAAAATATACTGAGAATTAACCATATTATTTCAGGGAGGAGGAAGGGAGAGATCTCCTGGGCAAGCGCACAATGGACTTCAAAGTCTCGTACCTGGACCCCGGACTGACGCAGTCATACCTCTGTGACAGCGAGCTCCCCCAACTGTACGTGCTCAGTGGTTGTATGCATATCAGGAGACACTCTCGTATATAAAAATCGATAGTTCATTTAAACAAGTCATACCTCTGTGACAGCGATTTCCCCCAACTGTACGTGTTCAGTGGTTGTGTGCATATCAGAGGACATCCTCGTATATAAAAATTAATAGTTCATTTAAACAAGTCATACCTCTGTGACAGCGAGCTCCTGCCGCTGTACGAGCTCAGTGATTATATGCTTACCAAGAGATACTCCTGCATGCTTATAAAATAGTAAATTTACACAAGTCATAATACACAAAGTTTTAACTTTGTAACTATTTGAATATTTTCATAAATACTCGCAAATCGATTTCCTTCTCATAAGCAAAATTAAAAAATTCTAATATCCATGTGCAGTGATTAGTGAAACCGTGTTTTCTGAAGCATCGTGAATAATAGACGAGCATAAGTTAACGACTTGTGTTTAGGGCATTACAATCGAAATATCACCTGCAAATCGGAGCGAAGATGCCGGCTATCAGCTTTTAAATAAATATTAGCAGAGTGTCAGAAGCCGTCTTTAGAGCATTTATTATGATTGTTGGGTACTTAATTTAATTATCGGCCAGATATCAGAGACCATGGGTGGGGCGGGGAATATGGTTGCCAGCATTTTATGTAATTATAGGCGAGATATCAGCGACTATTGATGGAAAGATAACTACAGTTGCCAGCTAATTTATGGAACTATAGGCTGGATATTACGAAGCATTGTTAGAGCAAGGCCGGCTATACTTTAAGGTATTACAGGTTGGTTATCAGTAAGTATTGGTGGTTCGGAGAATATGGTTGTCACATATTCTAGGGAATTATATGTGGGTTATCAGAATTTATGTTTAAATTGTTTGAATATGGGAGCACTGAAATCAATGCGCTGATATTGGGAATTATTCCATTTGCTGTCTTTAATATTATTTATTTGTACTGGAAAATAAATAAATAATTCTTCCACCAGCTTCATCGACGTAACGTCTCTATTTTCTTTAAATATTTAAAGTTCTCGCTAGATTTCAAGGAATACACTGAATTTTATCACATCTTCACAATCATACATGTTTCAATGACCGATTCATTAATGAACATCGCCATCTCGCGTTGCATTTATTTTTCGTATGAAATTCATTTTCATCTAATAATCCAATGAGTACCTTTTAAAATATTCACCTCCTGCATTATTCACGTGGTTCATCATCCCCCTCTTCTATTATTCACGTTTCATTTGTTGACGTGATATATAAATGCCTTGTTATCATTCGTCTCATTCGTTTTTCAATCTAGTTTATATTTAACAAGACTCGCAACTATTTATCAACCCAAATAATTATTCAACTCGTGCAATTATACAATCACTATCATCTAAATCTTCTTTACTTATCTTTAGCATTATTCCCTGGCGTGGTTTAACCACCACCAAATTAACTATTATTTCTACCTCATCAGGATGTCCCGCCGCTATAAAACTCATCTCCGAGATTTCCTCTCAACGTGCCGGTCAAAGCGCTCCTACAACAACATCGCAGACCCGACGTACAATAACTACAGTAACGTCTACAGTCCATCTTCCTATGCGGCCGACAATACTGCTGCAAGTTTGTACGTCAATCCACAAAACCTAAGCAACCTGCCTTCTTTATACCCCACGTCGTACATCCCTACAGATAATTTGTTCCACTACCGACAACTCGGGTCTTACTACCCCGACTACATGACTACCCACAGCTACGTCAGCAATGGCTACATGGACCCCACTAGACCATGTCTGGGTTACGATACTTCAGGATTATCAAAAACTACCACAACCGAACAGAAATTTTACTGTCCCTCGCAGCTGGAAGCTTCGAAGTATGCTAGTCAGTACTACACGGCAAACTCGGTGCTCCCGCCCCTGGACCACAAGTACGATTTACGGGCGAGTTCTGTGGAATTCCGGAGGGAACACACGCCTCTTTTGGCACCCCCGTCACCCGCTAGCACGGCTCCCCCACCGAGTGTTCCACCTCCTACGACTCCTTTGACTCCGGTCACTGATGGCGGGGGAATAAAAGATATAGGATATTCTAACGGTACCCGCCAGACAGTCCTCATGTGGGGATCTGCAGAGTCCACCGCTCCGCTTCTGCCGACTCCAGATTACGACGTTGCGAGCTCCACCATCAAAAAATACAGTGACAGTCCCAGCAGCAATGCCAGCAATGGTAGCAATGGTGTTGCCAACAACCAGCCGTGCCCTTACACGAGCAGCAATAGTACTTCCAGTGCTGGTAACCACCACAGCACCGTTGCAGGAGTTCAGGAGGTGATACCAGGTGCTGCTTGCAAGTGGGGACCTCTTACTGCAGGTTCTAACGGGGCACGCAGCAGCAGCAATGGAGGCTCTCCCCATGAGGGAGCTTCACCCCCCGGCAATACTGGGGTCACGGGGGGTAAGGGGGGATACTACACTACTGAGACGGGGGAACTTTGGCCCCCACATCAGTACTATCATCACCCATATCATCACGCTTACCCCAGCGCACAGTGAGTGATCACCGAGATTGTTTTCCTTTTGTGTTGAAACTTTTGCATGATGAATGCTCGTTCACAGCCATTTTTTGAACGTGATAGAGCGAAATGATGATCTGCTAGTCTTAGATAAGACTATCTCTTTACCGTTTTAATTAAAAAATCGCTGTTTTTTGTAATATAGATTGAACCTCCAGAAAAAGTAGTTAAATTATCATATTTTGACCACTCTCGCTCAACATAATCAAATGCAAGATTCATGCCAATAAGCAATAATTTCGCTCTGTTATGTTCGAAAAACAATCCTGTGCGGCGAGTCCAACAAAATGCTTCGCAATTTAACTGCTCTTAAATGTTTTTTTCGAGGCTCTTTCTTTGCTTTTAACTGCTTTTTGGCGCCTTTTAATTGCCCTGAAATTCTATATTAAACCTGCTTAATTGCTCTGAAATGCTTTTCTGTTTTGGACCTTCTTCATTGCTCTGAAATGCCTTTTCAAAGCTTCTTAATTTGCTCTTTAATGATTTTTATATAGCTTCTTACTTTGCTCTTTAATGCATTTCTTGGCTTTTTAAATGCTCCCAATTAATTAGTAACGCTTCCTAACTATACTTCAGGTATAACTTGCTTGTCTCTTCATTTGTACGAATATGATCGGCAAAAACATAACTGCTGCCTAATAATTTGCGAATGCACGTCTGAAAAGTTCACAACCTAAACTGCGAATGAAAATACGTGTGAAATATGTTCAGCATATGAGAGTTAACATGGGAAAATGAAGACCGTAGTCCATTACCGTAAATAACTCCAACTCTCACTAATTAAATTAGTTACGGACTACGTAAAAACATTTTTCCGGTCTATCGATTTAATTGCTGTACCGAATTCGCGAATCGTCGCATGACTCAATTTTAAACGCATGTTCGTTAATTAATAGTTTACACATATGCTATGCTCTTTCATGGAAATATAGATTGCGATAATGAACTCAAATTGCATTATCGTAATCTATAATGTTCGTTATACATTACGATAATGATAATGAACATTTTGCTGGTTGACGACTACTATAAATAACAGTATGAGAAAAAATGTTATCCTCTTTCCGTTTATAATAATGAATTTAATTCATAAAATTTAGTGAAAACTGGAACTAATTAACGTGCACACATTTCCATCAATAATCCTTAATAGGACTCCTTCTGGTGCATGTCTTGTGGCCGAGCTAGCATTTTTTACTTGACAATTTTTCCTCAACAAATGCGTTCTCCGGTGCCAAATCCCGTAGTGATTCATTGAATTTTAATGATTTTTTTCGTAGGTGTTCACTGGCGTGGAAAAGTCAGAGCAATTTGTTGTCTATCAATTTTCTATCAGGCTTTTAAGTTGCCTATATGCCATTAGTTGAAGAAGTTATTCATACTGAGTATCTCCTTCCATTTATTTGAGTTAAATTTCCAGAATTTTTATAAATTTAACTTATCAGGAACCTGACCTTTGACCTTAAAACAGAACGGTTATATGAGCCTTTTTTTACTTAATTTCTAAAGTTCGTAACCTATGAACATTGATTAAAGACCTAACTCTATCCAGCTTCTAGATTTGGTTCTGACAATCCTGAGCGGAATTTTATCGTTCACTTAATTTGAACCTCTTCGCTGATTAACGCACCATAAATCTCAATCCAGTTAAGCAGACAATCGACTCTAAATTAGCTTGCAGCTTAACTGAAGCCAACAAAGCTAAATCTCAATCCAGTTAAGCAGACAATCGACTCTAAATTAGCTTGCAGCTTAAACTGAAGCCAGCAAAGCTGACAAAGGGATTAGCTATACGGTATTTGCCCATCGTATGTCGCATTTCCCGTCAGTTTGAAGCGAATCAAAACGATTCATGTGCCAGTAATAAAACGCTGTCTTGTCATATATAATAGTGGGATACGGCGATTTACAATCCAACTGTACGAAACTTTTCGTGATCTCAACGTGAGCAACACTTGGCGAAGCGATTGCAATTGACCCATAATTTTCTCAACCATTGTGCGTCTTGATGGTCAATAAACTCATATTAAGTCAGTTCCATTGAAATATTCAGATCGTAATCAACTATGCTTCGGCCCTCCGTGTTAGGTCGAGATCTGATTTGCAAATTATACTGTAATTGAAAATGAGAAAGCAATCTGTTCTGACCTATGCTTTTGTATACATGATCTGGCGCGCTTTACACTCAAAACAATAAGTGGGTCGTAATCCAATAATCCATCCACGTCACGAGCAATGAGCAGACGTAGCACTGACGCATTTTTTTCAGGCCTAACTGAGTCAGGCTGACTCGTAAAATGGCAGAAAATGCATCCTTATTCGGATCATTAACCCTCTCAATACTCTGAGTGTATAATGAGATTTTATCTCGCTATCTTGAATGATGAGACTTGACAGCGACTAATCAGAGGCATGCAGCTCATTGTTTGACTAGTTTCTGATTATTTTTGAAATAATTAGGAAAAATTGGCTCGTCTTCATGTCATAAGCGTTAGCATGTCTCAAATTGCATACGAACTTACAATTTGCCTCCAAAACTGCGATAAAATCCTGATCGTTTGCCAATTGATAGGTTAGAAATAAGATCGTAATTTTTTCTGTTTAGATAGTCAAATATTGCTGAGAAATTGAGCTAAGCGAAAATCGCTCAACGGTATTTATTGTATTAATTTATCATTGCAATGAGTCTCTTCTTAGACGTGCCATTCTACTGAAATAATCAGAAAATCAAATGATACTCTAGCTCCTTACTGATACGCAAGTATTTATTATTAGTAAGGAATTATATTTTTAAGTATTTTTCTGGTATGCTACTGATATTCCCTTTCAACATGTCGCGGATCATCCACTAACATAATTTTATTGTCTTACAAACACGCCACTGATGTTACTCCAGCATATTCCAGCTTTATTGTGAAAAAGACGGAAATTTTCATACCCCCTGGTCTAATATATCTGAGGTTTATACCTAATATATATAACCTGTACTGGGCTAATATAAAACGGAACATTTCATACCCACTGGTCTAATATACTTGAGTTTTATACATAATATATATAATATATACTGGGCTAATATATGAACCACACTGTTAGACATAAACGGTAGTTGCGGTGCTATATAACCGGCACCGCGTGTGCTGCTGGTCTGTTACTCATACAATACTGATACTTTTTGATACTCTGATACCTGATACAACTTGGATACCTTATGCAGCACTGATACCAGTTTTATCTTTAGTAATTTATACAACACAGATACCTGGTACAGCTCTGATACTTGATTAAACACTGCACATGCTACAGAGCACATGCAGAGCACATGCTACAGTTCTGATACTTGATGTAACACTGATAAATACATGCTACAGCTCTGATATACGTTTCAACACATACCTGGTACAACTGTGATACTTGGTGCCCCTATAACTCTTATACCAACATTCTATACCCTGGTACAATACCAACATTCTACCCTGGTACAATACCAGCATTCTACCCTTGTTCGGCGTCAGTATCGGACGGCAGCAGCTACCTGACTCCTCAGCTGCCCCGGAGCTCCATCCTGTGCTGTCCCTCCCTGAGGTAACACGCACCACGCCCCCGACACCGCTTCTCTGCATACGTTCTACTATAGTCATCATAAATATTTTGTGCGATGATTTAAAATATGTGTGGTTTATGGATGAAAATTGTCATACATTTTAGTATGAAATGCCTTCGCTGCTAGGAATGTGCATCGATTTTGCGGTGGATTATTGTTGACTGTTTGATAAGGCGGTGAAGAAAATCAAACTCCATGATATTCTGCCATGGATGGAGAAGATGCTGTTAGCGTTTCCTGAAGAAGCGTCTTCTTGAAGCAAGCTTTGTTTTATAATATGTGAATAATTGATTGTTTTTTTTAATATTTAGCATGAACTGAGATAGAGTTTGGCAACAGGCCATGGGCCTATTTCTTCAGTGCCGACATTTCTATTTTATTCATTTATATACACCATACTGCACGTCGGGGTTCTGACATATTAGTTACAACACTTTGCCGTGCACTAGGATTTCTGGCCTGTTTAAATCTGCGCTATTCAGTTCCGAGTTGTAAATGACTGAAATGTGTAGCTGGCCATGAGTAATTAAATGATCACTGATGCAGTTGTGAGTGATTTCAATATTACTAGTGTCTGAACAAACTGATTAACAGAAAAAAACTGGATTTCTTCTGCTGATTTACAGAGGAAAAACTCGTTTTATTCTGCTGGTTTACAGAAGAAAAAACTCTAACTTTATTTGGGACATGGCACTTTGAAGCTAGATTTTTGTAGTCAAACATGATCAGGAAAATGTAAATTATCACTGAAATCTGAACTTAAATCCGTAAATTTTGAACCCAAACCTCCAAAGTTACGAACCATCGTCTCTGTGGACACAAGGAACAGTAATAGATTTTAATTCGACTGAGGCCGGACAGCCATGCCTGCAACGGGAAACGGAAAGAGACTGGACGGAACTGGAAACGGAAGAAGACGGAAGAAGATTGGACGAAACTGAAAACGGAAGAAGACTAGACGGAACTGGAAACAGGAGAAAAAACGGATAAAGATTGGACGGAACTGGAAACTGAAGAAGGAAACGGATGAAGACTAGATAGAACTGAAAACAGGAAAAGACAGAATGAAATTGGAAACGGAAAAGGAAACGGAAGAAGATTGGAGAAACTGAAAACGGAAGAAGAGTTTACGGAACTGGAAACAGGAGAATGAAACGGATAAAGATTGGACGGAACTGGAAACTGATGAAGAAGACGGAAAAAGATTGGACGAAACTGAAAACGGAAGAAGATTGGACGGAACTGGAAACAGGAGGAAGAAACGGTTGAAGATTGGACGGAACTGGGAACGGAAGAAGGAAACGGATTTAGACTAGAAGGAACTGAAAACAGGAAAAGACTGGATGAAATTGGAAACGGAAAAGGAAACGGAAGTAAACTGGACGGAACTGGAAACGGAAAAAGACTAGACGAAACTGAAATCAGAAAGAGACTGGACAAAACTGGAAACAGAAGAAGGAAATGGAAGAAGACTGGACGGAACTGAAAACAGAAGTAAGAAATAGATGGGGACTGGACAGCATTGAAATGGAAGAAGGAAACGGGCGAAGGAAACGTAAGGAAGTAACAGAAGAGGCAACGAAAGAAGAAATGGAAAAATGAAATGGAGGAAGAAAATGGAAGAAGGAAATGGAAGAAGGAAATGGAAGAAGGAAATGGAAAAAGGAAATTGAAGCAGGAAACGGAAGAAGACGTTCCTGGAAAAGGAAGAAGAGCGTCTATGCTGCCGAACTCAAACCTCTTCTTCAGGTAATATAGGCTTGAGTTTGTATATTTAAAAAAGAGAAATATTTCTTTTCTCTGTTATTGTCGAGACGCGTTGAATCACAAAATGATCCAAGTGTTTGAATAATGAACTAGAATATGGATTAGTCATTGTGTGTGCTCATTGCTATATAATTTTTTATCATCACTATTACACTTTAATCTAAATATTCAATTTATCCAAACATCATTTTTCTTGATACTGAAAACTTCATACGTGTAATTAGATATAATTATTGTCGCCATTACAATATTTACTAAATGTGTTTCGTAGTCTTGCGATTTCTCAATAGTAGAAAAGTGACCAGCATTTTAAAAAGCGGAAGAGAAACGAAATTTTCATCATTGAAATTAATTGATTTAGGTTTTTGCAGCGGAAATTATTTAGTTTTTATGATCATTTCAGCATCTATTTGTCTTGTGGCTAAATATTTAATTTCGAGTTCGGACACAATATGCAAATTCATATTGCGCTAAAATAAATGTCAACAACACTGGCTTCGTAACTGCCTGTTCAAAGTGAGAACTAATAATTGTTATAAAACAAGATAATGTAGTCCTTGTCGCTGAAACCGTACGGAAAAGCAAGCATATATGATTGATACATATTATAATTTTCAAGTAATCTATCTATACACATTTCTTCCCACTTTATTTCAAACTCGCACAAACGTATTGTGTTGATGACGTCACTTGTATCACAGCTCTCCTGTTTTCGCACCATGTACATGGTCTACACTGCACTTGAGCACATTACTTCACTTGCAATGTATTATTGATTTACATATCCTTAGCTATTCCCCAATAAGTATAAATATTACGAGGTCTTTAGTATAGTCTGTAATTATAATACGCACAATTTCCGCGTGTCACAAATCTCTCTATATCAAGTCAAATTCTCACTTCTGAATATCAAGTCAAAATTAAAATTTTTTATTGTCATTTGATTTGTAATGTATTTTTTGACAGACTTTATTACCTTGAGAGACGGAGACTTACTTGTTTCTGAATATCAAGTCAAATTCTTACTTCTGAATAACAAATCAAAATACAAATTTTTTACTGCCATTTCATTTGTACTGTTTTTTGACAGCCTTTATACGTTTGACAGACACCACCATTAATAATTATGAATATTATTAGGATTTGATGTTTACTCATTAACTATTCGCTGAGCAGACCTTCAGATGAACATCTAGAAGACGACGCCCATGCTTCGTCCTTGCCGCCTACTCCCGTGGCTGCCGCCATCACGTGAACTCCATGCCCTCATCACGCCATTTTTATTCTATTTGTAAACACTTTTATTTAAAATCTTACTTCTGGACTCTTCGAAAATGTACCGTCATATCCCCTTTCAAATGAGACGAGTTTATCCCAAGAATTAACTACACGTGTGTACAGATTCCAGCATCCCCTTGACCCGTATACCAATCTAGTTCACTTAATTCTCTACTATCGAAGAATATTTCGAATTATGCATGATCAAAGTGTTGCATTCTTTCTTCGAGATGTTTACTTCTGAGACATTTAGCTCTCTTTTGCCGGTGAATTCCAAGTTCATTTACCTCTCCTTTCCAGTTACTGCTCCCTCTTGGCCCAGCTTCCTCTCCCAGCTACCTCTTCCTCTTGGTCCAACTTCCTCCTCTTCCACTTGGTCCAACTTCCTCTCCCTCCTAGCTGCCTCATCCACTTGGTCCAGCTTCCTCTCCCTCCTAGCTACCTCTTCCACTTGGTCCAACTTCCTCTCCCTCCTAGCTACCTCTTCCACTTGGTCCAGCTTCCTCTTCCTCCCAGCTACCTCTTCCTCTTGGTCCAGCTTCCTCCCCCTCCAAGTTTCCTGTGCCTCTTTGTCCAGCTTCCTCTCTCTCCCAGTTACCTCTCCTTCTTGGTCCAGCTTCCTCTCTATCCCAGCTACCTCTTCCTCTTTGTCCAGCTTCCTTCCTCTCCGTTTCCTGCCCCTTCTATTATCCGACATCAGCTAATGCAAAAGAAAATCAAATTGAATCTATTATAAAATTGTTTAAAATATGAAGCAGTTCAGATGCCTAAATAAGGTCTAATGAAAGTTAACCTGGCCCCTTATGAACAATTATCTATGTTTTCGACAATAAGCACCCAACAAAAAGGCTTTAAAAATCCATAGTTAAGAGTTTCATTAGCTAGTTATAATTCATGAATGAAGCCATTCGTCCTTCTATAAGTAGAGCATCAGTTACTTAATTTGCTAAAGCTATTAACTAATTTTGTTAAAAATTCATTGTAAAAAGAGCGCCCTATCAAACTGTAGCAAATACGAATAACATTTAGCGACATTAGCCTTACGTGGACAAGTTATTTTCTTCTAATGCTGAGTTCTCTGCCGTACAGATTAGAATTTTTTGTGTAAGTTGTTTCTAAGCAGGAATTAAAAACTAATTAATTTTCTTCTTTCTAGAAAATTTGTAGATTATTTTTTTGAAAACAATCCATTCTACATGGCATATCTCATTTATGCGAAGATTAATAATATGAGGAATAAATTCGATCAGTGATAGAGTAAGCCGAATTTGAGGTGCCCTTGCTGATGTGACTGTAGCGAATGCGATTAATTTCTCACCAGATTGCCTTGAATCAACAATTTTCAGTTGCCAGTTATTTGGGATTGCATTAATTGATATTTAAATACATTATTGCGGCGAATAGTCACTATTACACGACATTTACTAATGAGATGCTGTCACTGGATACATCTTCTTTCCGTCAATTTACGATTTTTAATATGAAAAGTTTTTGTTTACGGGTTCCCTGTTCTCATGTTCACGTGCTTGGTGATATTACATTGAATTAGTATTGGGAAATTATTGAACATTGATACCCAAGTCTTACCTCGGTCTGGACCTATGCCCATCTAAGTCGTGTATCGTGGGTTGCGGTTCAACATGATTATGAATTGTAATTAAAGTCTAATTAATTAATTAATTAATTAAACACGATTAATAATTATTGCGAGGTATCACATGAAAGATTAGCTTTTTAATCGTCTGGCATATTGATTAATATTGGCATGTTCTGTATAAAATTCCATGCAACTATTTTATCTGTTCAATGATGTTAATGAGTTAGATTCTCATGGCAATTTATCATCCGATGAATTAGTCTTGATGATAGCTATTCTTCCAATTTAGGTGCATTAGAAGTAGTTATCACTCGTCCATTAATTAATGTCAAGCTTTTCCTTTTAAATTTATTACAATTAATTCAGTTGGTAAGGCTCGTCTTGATGCGATATCGCGCCATTGTTTTAACCCTGCAGTTATTCATTTGCATAAACTGCAGGACTCGCGAGCAATGATCGACTACCCTTCCATGATAATCAAAATAAGTATAATTTATCTAAGTAGTTATCGCCATAACACTTTTACTACCTACTTCACTTGTTAAGTGGGTTTTTGTCGAAGGTGGAGAGATTGGCAGTAGGTTTTTTCGTTTAAATAAGCTTCTCTGTTCAAAACGCACACTATTACCTGATACTCACACTAGTACCGCTCTTTAATTCCCTCGGCATAGTATCAGGAGTGTGAGACTTCAATGTCAAGTTATGGAAAAAAGTAACATGCAGCCTTTCGGACTCGTACTTCCTGTTTCAAAGTATCATTGGAGGCCGATGTCTTATAATTTGAACGATGCTCGATTCTTATAGGACGGAGTAACTCGATCGGAGTAACTTTATTCTAACGCGCTCCAGGTTTTGTATCCGAAGTCAAATCGTTTAATCATATATCTTATGTCTAGATGTCTATTCAGTCATTTATGAACTTGATTAAAGAAACATTTCGAAACCCAGCTTATATTCTAATGAGGTTTATGCTAGCTACCACGGTACTTGCTGCTGCAATCGGTTGTATCTGCATGGCGGCTTTATTAATACAAGTCTTGGTGTAACAGGTGATCGCCGTGTTATTTCTGATGGTGGCTGAAATAATTGAATAAAATGGTAGTGAAATAGTCTGTATCAGACTTTCGTTATCATCTAAGAGCTAATCATTTTTTTTTCAAGCATTTCAAACAATAATACCCTGCACTTTTCTAAAGGGTAACTTGTGTAACAAGAAATGACTGCATTGATACCATGCAGCTATTTAAACATGCCCTGTATTGAAATGACCTAACCTCGTAATGCAGGGAAAATATTTTTTTTTCGTTCTATTTGTGTGAAAATATTTGCTTGAAAGTTTTTACTAATAACTCGTCGGCTGAGGAATAACTAGAAGTAGGATATAGATCTGAGTTATTTTTCATAAGGGTGTTCATTCGATCACGCATCTTGTACTAGTAAAAATCTAACATATCTGGCAACCAAAGGTGGTTAATAATAATTAATATGTGAAATTAACTGAATATTTTTCACTTGATGTTAAACAATATCCGACTACGAGCAAAATACGCGTCATTAAATCCAAATCACATTAAGTATTTAACAGTGTTTTGATTATCTTGTAATTTCCCTAATTAATGCCCCAAATTAAAGTTTTCTTAACCCTGTTTCTTTATATTAGCATAATATCTTAAATGTTGCATTGTCGATAATCTCGTCTGCAAGAATTTAGATTACCTTCTGAATTCTTGCACGTTCTCGAAATTTGAAATGTTTCATCTTTCACATTTTATACAAGCTTTTGTCGGTATTTTCAATGTACAGTTGTGTTTGAAAAGAATAAAATGGCAGCTTTGCCTTATATTAGTTACCGATTCAATACTATGCCAGTGAATGAACGCACTATTGGTTACATTAGTAATTATTTGAAATATTTGCTGCCGGTGACGACAAATTTGTCCACACTATTCATAATTTTATTCCTACCACAGTTGTGTAACTTCACTATATGGTATGTATAGTGAAAGGGTTAAGCGTTCTAGGTTTTTATCCATTATAAAGTTTGGAGCAAACAGGGTCTATTCAATCAAACTGTTACGATATGTAGCGATGCACTCTCACCATCTTCATCGTTTCGTATAAGCGTCTTATTTTAAGATAGCTTTGCAATTTACTTGAGCAACTCTTAATGTGATGTACATAATAATAACGTTCCAGTGTTAATTGCAGACGTTTATCCTTCTTATCTTCTGATTACTAAGGATAGTTTTGATTTCAAGACTAGTTCTATAAGGAGGATCCGTGCTTCATATTTTTTTTCGTTCCATTTGATCGTAATAAGTTGTACTTAATAACTACCAAAATCTGCTCGTTGTTAGCAGGTGGATTGTTTGTACGTCTAACATTTTATGTTCATATTCGAAACGTAACCCGACTATTTTGTTGCAGGTTTTATTATTATTTATAACGTATAAGTCCTTATATACTCTGTAAAAAACTCGATTGTATATAATTTGTTGTTGATCTTTTCTCCTGAAATAAGTAAGTAATCTAGTTTGACTTTCATTGAATTTTAGTGATATGAATGTGGAGCAGTGCTTTAGGTGATATGTATGGAGGACCTTCCTCAGTTGTAAAATATTCCAGCGCAAATCAAAATATATTCTTTGTATGCACATCTCGTATTTTGAATGTACTTTCTTCTTTATACGCGTAGCTTCGATGATAACCTTAATGCTTACATTTAATACGTAGTATATCAAAGTATCGGTTATCAACTCATCTTCTAGTACAACTTTTTTAAGATTAAGTAATGACTTTGCACCAACTAATTTCCGTTGGACTCATGATTTACATATGCGGTAAATGTATACAGTGCCTCTAGCAACCATGCATTCTAAATTGAGTATAATTTTATATTCAAATTGATAAAGGAATGGTGATGCAATAATCAAATCTATAGATTTGCCTTGGACGGAAGTAAATCGTTCATCTATAGAAAGAACTGTTCCCCATTTCACTGCCCACTTAAGGCCTTAAAAATTTTAAAAATGTGAGATATTGACAACATTGCTTTACGTGCACTAAATTCATATTGCATATGATATTGGTTAATTGTAGTGCATTTCATAATTATTCCTCAAATTGAGTTTTATTACAGTCATCTTTGAATAACTTACCACTTAACACTGAGTTATTGTAATCTAATGTTTCCAAAAAATTCACGGCTCTGCATCGCTATCGAAAGTAGGTTCTCGTATGGGTTATATTCTGGACGCTCATTATACGCTGAACGCGTTCTGAAGGCTTGTATAGGAATGACGCCAGAACGTTACATCCTTAAACTCATGATACAGAAATTGTCCTTTGCTATCATCAAAGTTCCTTGAACCAAATATAAAGTATAATTAAACATACAAGTACTCATGTCACCAGCAATATTCACCATTGTCCCATTGAAAACTTATTTAATCTATTCAATAACGTCATGATTTATTTTTTGGCGTTTTCTATGCTTCTGAATTTTTAGTAAACATTGGAGAAGTTGAAGTAGAATGATTGGAACCTGTTATCACAATTTTTAATCAGAATGCAAATTGTTGTTTTGACAGTTAGCCATCGAATGCAATGATTTGTATTAAATTAACAGTCCATTTTAGCGTTATTTGGAGTAAATATTTCTCCGTTCACTTCAAATACTCAACGTCAATCAATTTCATTCGCTTGACCCAAATTGTATTCCAGGACTGCAAAGAACCAAATATAATTTTTTGCAAACAAAAAATTCAAATGGAGAATATTTTTATGATTGACGTAAACTCTTATCAAAAGTCCACTGTTTATATGTGACTTGCATGGACTTGGTAAACAAGGATGAACGGTTAACCTGTTGATACTTGTACAAGGTTGAACAAGGTTTCCGTTGTGCGTTTAAAGTGACAAGTTTAGTTCCTGGTAAAGGATTTACATGTTGGCACAAATTAGTAATTTTACGTAGATAATTCCGCACTTTTTTACATTTCATTCCCCCCTCAGGGGGGACTTCTGACGGGTGTCTGTGCTCGTCAGAAGTCCTATGGGATTTCGCGTTCCTAGGGGGATTGTTCCTGAGCGCCCCACCGTTGAGCTCGCGGTGACTGACTGCAGGTCTCAGTTGTGGGGTTAAGTTATTATGTAGGCAGGATTCCTTACATCCAAGTTATTATGTAGGCAGGATTCCTTACATTTCCCTTCTCTGTCTCTCTCGTGCGGGCGGCCGACGTCCCGTGTAAGCGACCTCTTGTTCGAGTGTCTTCGTTTCTGTTACTTTTCACCTGTCCCTCCTTGTCACTTCGTCTCTTTGAGATGCTAACGCTGCTTCTTTCGAGCCAGCTTCAGCGGGCTGGACATCTGAGACCTTCCGCCCCTTGTGGGTGATGAATAATTGAGACCTTCCACCTCTACGGTGATGTTCATCTTGACTTTCGGTGCGAGATAGCTAAATAGCTGAAGCGCTAGTAAACTTTAAAAAAAAAAAAAAAACATTTCATTCCATCTACATAATGTTTAACCGAATGTATGTGATTGAGAATATGTATGTGTAATATTTTATTCGTTTATGTGGGAAACACATGTGGCATGAAATTTGTCCTTTATATAGGTACAAATTTTTCGCCGGTAAATGTCAAAAATATTAGAAAAAGTATAGAACCAACGAACACACACGCTGATCCTAAGAAAAATGTTCATTTTTTGCCTGCGTTATGAGAGTTTCAGAAGAATTTTTAAATTTGAATTCATGCTATACATGAATTTAATTTAAAATGCAATTTCTCTGAATGAAGATATGTTTTAAAATGAGCTTCTCTAAAAAACTCAAGCTCATATGTTTTCCTAAAAATTTTCTTGAGTGGTTTTTATAAGAGCAAATACCATGACCGACTTATTATATGTATCAATATTGTTATCTTGATGTATGAAGGTTATTTAATTAGGTCTCGCCAACGCTGTAAAAAATTGTAGTGAGGGTCGCACAAAAATTATGCGTTGCCAGCCCGCTTGATCCGATTGAATAAGTTTAATTCCAAGCTCCAACTGCAAATCGGTGTACTTGATCAATCTAATTTTTTAGAAAAATCAGTGTGTTTGAGTTGCTCTATTGAAATTTGTGACTGTGCCGCGTTGTGTGAAATTAGACGTCTGTGGTTCCGTATTTCTCCATGCACATCTGCTGCTTGTGAATCCTGCTTATTTTGAACGGGGAAAACACTTATGCGGAATATTTCTTTTCATATTTACCTCATTCTTTGATCAATAAGCTTGTAAATAAACGCGAACAATTACGTGATTTTTATGTAAATATTATTAATTAAATTGCCATTCCACTTTCGATGATTTATTGTCCCAACTCGAAGCGATTTATTGTCAAGTGACAGAAGAAAAAAAAATCTCATTATGAAACGGTTCAGTAGGCATATTGTGTAATACTACTGAAACGCGCGAAGCCGAGTGTATTGCTTTCCTGCTTAAAACAGACTCTGGTGAAGTGTACTTCGAGGAGAAGAGTAAAGTAGGTGTGAGTTGTTAGTTTCACATTGAATATGCACGCAGAATTTACATACATCCAACGTCACCCAAATCATATGAGGCACAGAGCAGGTGTGGATGTGAAATTTATGTCGGATGTTTATCAGAAATTAAAATAACTCATAGTTTTTTGTTCAGGTCACAAGGTGGACGAGGCAGGAATGGGAGCCGATTAACATGGTATTTAGATGTTGATTCGTATGCAACACAACGATGAATAAACAATGGCCGGTAGATCTTACTTTCTTTATGTAAATTGGCGATCGCAGCACCTGTTACGACCATCATGAAGCCACAAAATGTTTCATAATGTGGGATGATGATTTGATTGCGAATATTGATATAAAAACACAGAGTTGCGACATATTGCTTTATTCTATCGAGAGGCGTGTTTATTCATATTCTACTGCCTAGATGATGGAAGTCCACTAAATTTTGGTGGGCCCGTGGCTACAGTTCATAGTACCAGGATTGGACCGGAGAAGTGATGGTTTAATACCAGCTCTGCCCTTCAGTTTCTGGTGAAAATCGGCAAAGCAGCTGGGCGGTTAAGCATAACAAAATTGAAGCAGTGGGTTGCGCGTTCGAGACCGCAACGAGCTGTGAATGTTCTACGATTTTAAGAATTGGCGAAAGGCTTAGGGCGTGATAAACGCAAAAAAACGCTTTTAAATTCAAATCTTACTATTGCCTCGTGAGACTTGCTGGAATATGAGTTATTGGAACAAAGTGACGCCCGGTGGAGTGTGGCTCCATATTTTGAGAATAATTTCCCAGAATAATATTTATATGATCATAACCTAAATTATATTTAGCAAATAAAACAATCGTTAAAATTATGAGATTGGCGATTATAACCTTGATAAATTCTGTCATGCCTCCAGATTTAATATAAATTTGTGATTACAACATCATAGATAAATGGAATCTTCTAAGTCACGAGTATTGACAAATAACCTGTATAAAAATCATTGCGTATCGAAATGTTCATTACAATTTGGTATTATAGATAATCTAGGCGTGTTATAGTAAATGCCGCTAGGTCCTTGTTTGAACCAAAATCAAGGATTTCTCCCTAACTATCGTTGTACAAAAGATGGCGGCCGCACGATTATTTGAGCACGTTTCTGTGCATATTTTTAATTCTGAAGGGGACAAAAGATTAAAATATAATGTTCCAGTCAGTGTGTCTATAGAATATGATCCTCATGGATTATCTTGCAAAATTAGTAAAGGTATGTGTTAGAGTTAACCTCTGCTCTATTATGTTAACAATACTCGGCATGCGTCCGGTGGCTTTGTGCCGCGAAACCCATGTTCATATGACCTGGACGATGCCGATTTCCTAAGTTCTTATAGCTAAATGTTGAAGACTGACGCTATTGCCGAGTTTATTGTTATATTTTTTGAAATATTTTAGTATTCTTACCTGAAGTAGAAAAGGCTTCTTCGATTCTTGAATTTATAGCCTGATGAAATTTTTTACAGTTAAAAATGGGTCGATTGACTTAGCAATTTCAGTCTGGAAATTATCTTCTTGATGAGTGGCATTTTAATTTATCAAGTCATGATTTTATCAAACTCAAATCTGCAAAGAAAAAAACTTTTTGTTCTGTTTTTAAGTCTTGAAGCAATTTTTTGTCATTTCTGTTACCTAATCAGAATCCTAGCCTCCTACCTAGACCCTAGTTTTAAACAAGTTAATTGTTTCTGAAATATGCTACTATTAGTACTATGCTGCTATGTACCTAAACTAGGCTGTGAAATTTGAAAGTAGGAGAGTGATAGTGACTCGGTGAGAGATGTGTATGAACTAGGTATGAAGTTCTTGGGAAGTTGGGAGTTGGGAGCCATAGTGGCAAAGCAGAGAGTTTTTTAGACTCTCCCTCAAGTTCATTTTTGAGTCCTATAAGCATAGTGGCAAACCAGAGCTATTTTGGAATCAGTTCATTTTTAATTTCCTCAATAACTCAAGATTTAACTAAATTTCTTAAGTATGATAATGCTGGTATCCATGATACTTTACTAGTCTACTTATAGGACTCAAAAATGAACTTGAGGGAGAGTCTAAAAAACTCTCTGCTTTGTCACTATGCCTATAAGTAGACCAGTAAAGTATCATGGATACCAGCAACCAGCATCATCATACATAAGAAATTGGTTTAGATCTTGAATAAATGAGGAAATTAAAAATGAACGGATTCCAAAAAATCTCTGCTTTGCCACTATGGTTGGGACTGCACTCACTGCAGTCATTGTAGGTTTGTAGGTAGCTAGTATTAAATCTAAAACTCTATTTTTTTCTGTGTAGCTAGGCAATAAGCTAGCTATTGTGTCTCGCAATTTTTAGTGAAGCAATTGCTTCACAAAATGATTTTGATTAGAGGTAGTGGTTCTAATACTAAAGATTTAGCTTTGTAAAATAGTCATTGCCACAATATGAGCTAATTATAAAAAGAAAACCAAAATTTCAGATTCATCAACAAAACAGTGAGTATCGGCTTGATTTCCGGAGAATAGAGCAGTACACCTGCAGGATACTTTACCAGGTCCCAGGATCACTCCTGGAGCATAGCCAGAAGACATGTTTGGTAGATCACTTCTGGCCAACTTTGCAGTCATACACAGGCACACACCCCCAGGCACACACCTCTTTGTACTCACCGATCTAGTAGCCAGAATACCGAGATGTCACTGACCGCAAGAGCCTCCAGAAGGTGCACCGCCAGAGAACCAGAAACCTTGAGTACTGGGAAACAGCAAGATACTCACTATGCTTTGTAGTGAACAAAAAAAAGATACTGGGAATGGCACAGGGTACATGAATTAAGGTTCCTAAACATTCACAAAGGCTTGGCTTCTATCCTACTTAAGCATAGGATCTTTCAGTCTACAATACTTGAGTCAAAAAATGGTATGAGACTACTTGACTGCAAGTATTTGAACATAGTTTTGGTTTGAACGCAAACAAACAAGATAACACTTAAACTACTTCTAGTCTGAAACCATCCAGGTTTAGTTCAATCTAGAACGTCAGGAACGGCAAGATTCAAAGAGGCATGAATAAACAGCTGGCACAACCTGGACAGCCGAGCAACTAACTCTGCCCAAATACCACCTAACATTAATGTAACTAAACTATTTTTTTAATCACATTCACATTATCTAGTCAAAGTAAGGCTCTGGACTGGTGAAGTCAGGTTATTTCAAGCACTCATTCAAGTCATGGTCCCAATCAATGCAGTCAACAAGATGCATAGGCTCCTAACACTATGCAATTATCTACCCTAACTAGGAGACCATGAAAAGCACATAGAAACAGCTAATGAGTTGGCTTGATATGAATGGTCAATTATGTAGTCAATTAGGGTATCATACAATTTGGTACAATATATATGAGCATGAGCACTGCACTCTTCAAGGAGTTCAGGTTAATGAAGTGATGGTACTCAGGAGAGGAAGGTCACGAACTTGCAGTCAGGGACTTCCGATCTCCACAACAGCTTGGCAGCTGGGTCCCACACCGACTGCTCCTATCAAATTAACAAATACACATCTTGAGTCCATTGCCTTTTATGGCAAATAAAGAGGACTCATACTTCAATTGAATAAAGTTATGATTGAGATTGAATTTATCAAGCAGGTATTAAGCTTCAGCAAGAAGCAGGACAAGTACTCCATACAGCATAGCAAAAGGGAACACAAAGCATAACACAAGACTTAATGCTGTAATGCAAATGTCGAAATGTAAACACTCAAAGCAAAGAAACACTCACTAACTGTAATAGCAACCAAAGATTTACCAAGATCATAAGCCAAATTGGGTGCAATTTAGTTAAAGCATGAAAATGGGTAGGACAGGAAATTAATGCATCATATTACCAGTTCACTGCAACTCACCCTTAAGGAGCGTTGAAGTTTCTTAGGAAACAGGAGTATGTGGAAGAACCAGAGTATCGGCAGTTTGGCAAGCAGGATTAGGTTGACAATCACTTCAAGGTAAATTGGAATTCAGGCAATGGATGCAGACATTGATAGACAATCAGGTGCAGATAGGCACAAGTTCAAGCATGACCATGCTGGTGCATGTTAAAGGTAGACTCTTTTTTACTGGCAATACTGGACACATGTATTGGTAAAGCCAATAACAAAGATATATGTCTGAAACAAACACAGAAGAAACACACACATTATTAATAACAAAACAAAATTTAAACCACTCCTTCTAAGGGAGAAAACCAGATGATATTAGGAGGCATGACCTAGAAGTAAGAAAATGCACTATGATACAAATTACAATACAGCTAATGTTCTGCGGCCCTCTTCATCGCCAAGAACAATGAAATATTGTCTGGACTTCACATTGTTGGGTTCTTTTTAGAACCATTCTCATTTCAACAAGCCATGATTCACTTGACCCAAGATGCTTAACAAGAGCGGCACAGATGCTCTCATCATGGCTGAATTTAGCCCAACTGGCCACTTCTCAGCAAAGAAAACATGGTTGCTCCTCTCAGCTGGGTCTTGGCACATGCCACTGAAGCAGCTGAGCCCCTATACACAAGGCTAGTAGCATGACAGTTCAAGTGGCAGATCAACTGGTGGCCAGTACTGTCTCCATGTACAGGCACCTCGTGGGAATATTGGGCAGGAGCCACCTGTGTATCTGCCAAAAATGTCTGTGGATCCGTCCAATTCCACCCAGTCCTAAGGCCTTTTTCCAATTTCTTCTGTGTGAGAGAAGAAAAATGATCTATTTTTATCCACAATAATTGCTGATGAAACAATTCTGTTTAACCCATGATTTTAAGGAACATCTGCCCAATATTCCAAATAGGACTGAAAGCGCAGGTTTTCCTGTCTCCTTTGCTAATGGCTTCTGTCTGATGATCCAGAATGGAGTCAAGGGCTTAGATTCCATTGTGTAAAACCAAGCAGAAGCCATCCACGAATGAGACAAAAAATATGACTTGGTACTCACTGCAGTGAATGACAGGGCCAGGGTTGGTGATTTTATTGATTTTTTTAAAAAAATCAAAAAAAATCAAAAATCAATGATTTATTTGATTTTTTCATGATTTTTTGATTTATTTGATTTTTTGGATTTTTTCAACTTTTCTGTCCTTTTGAAGTGTTATTTTTTATGTTGCAATTAGCCTACTAAAAATAACAGTATATGGATCATAATGGATGGCTAAAAAGGGCACTTATTGCCTTCAATAATGGCCAACAGGCCAAACTGAGTTTTACCACTTAGGGATTTTTGGGTAAGCAATTATTGGTAAGTCAATCCATTAGCTTTGTAAAGTTTGTATGGAGCAAGGTAATGAGCTAAATATTGACCATTTAACTGGCTTCAATATACAAAAACACTTCAGGAATGCATATCTTCTAAACATAGAAGAGTCACATAACAGATAGGTAGCTGATAGCACAGTGCACAGCACTATTAATAGATCTACTAGTTTTATGTCCTATAAATCTACCAGACTCTACCCTTTATACACACCAACTATTAGTGACTGAGTGACTGACTGCAATGTTCCCATTTAATTCAGACCAATAAACCAATACTAAACATAAACTGAACGATAACCAACCAAATCTCATTCGACTTGAAACGAGACTTAAGTTATGAGAAAATCTAATACTGTTTGAAATAAACATGTGCACAATTCAAATATTTTATATCCATTCACTGCTTTTAATTATTTTATATATAGTCTTATAATTGTAATTGTTTTGTTTCTAGATCTAAATTCACATATTTAAAGATTGAAATTAAAAATTTTAATTAGAATAGGTACTCGTATTAGGGTGAAAATCTTTCTAATTGCCTAAAAGGTCAATACAATCTCAACCTCTCAATATACAGGGTGGGAGAGAACCAATTGAACAGTTTTGAGGTAAAATAAAAGAGTAATGGAGGTACATAAAGAAGAAAGTTTATTTTCCTAGAGGTTAGCATAACATATCATTTAGAATACTTATGTTTTGAAAACAATACCTGGAAGATGGTGGCCATTAGCTGCAATACACTGTTGGAGTCGTTCTCAGAGTAATGAGTAACCGTAACAGTGAATTCCAATTGCTATGCTGCAATGTTGCAAAATTTCTTGCAGCCCATGATGGACAAACACATTGTTGAAAATGAAGCATTGGGAGACGTGTGGTTCCAGCAGGATGGAGCTACAGCTCACACAGCCCGAATGTCACTCAATGTTTTTAAATGCATGTTCCCAGACTCTGAGGGGTGATTTACAGTTGCCTGCGAGGTCACCTGATTTGAGCATTTGCAATTTCTTTCTTTGGGGACATCTAAAAGAAAGGGGTTTAGAAGTCGCCCTCATACCCTATCACAGCTAAGGGAACGGATTATTGCAGGAGAGGTTATGGCCATACCTCGCCATATGTGTGAACGTGCTATAGAAAACTTCCGAGAACGACTCCAACAGTGTGATGCAGCTAACAAACCCCATCTTCCTGATATTGTTTTCAAAACCTAAGTATTTTAAATGGTATGTTATGCTAATCTTGAGGAAAATAAACTTTATTATTTATGTACCTCCATTACTCTTTTATTTTGCCTCAGAACTGTTAAATCAGTTCTGCCCCACCTTGTATAAGCTATCTAACACATTTAAATTGTATATTGTAATCAATATATAACAAGTAGTCAAATAGTTAAAGACTATTTATAGCCTTGTATGTTATAAGAATTAGCTAAGCTGCTAGCTACATACAATTTATTGTACACTTAATGCCTCTGTACCAAAAACATTCAATTCATTGGAACCTAATACACACTAAAGGCAACAATTTTATATACCAATTTGTCATTCATAGTACATTTATACTAAACCATGAATAAACAATACCTCAATATAAATTAAAGACTGCCACTCAATATACTTAAATATATGAAAAAATCAAATAAATCAAAAAAATCTAAAAAATCAAAAAAATCATGATTTTTTTTATAAAAAAATCAAGTGATTTAATCACATGATTTAATCATTTTGAATTAATCATTGCCAACCCTGGACAGAGCACATTTTCTTGTTGACAATAATATGGTCACAGACGGAAAGACAGACAGATGGATGGATAGACGGACATGGCAAGCACAATAGTGCATTTTTTCCATGAATGAGAAAATGTGATAAAAACACCTGTGATTGCTGATAATTTTGCATGTTCCTATGGGCCTTCCTCAATTTTTTCAGTGAAAAATTGAGAAAAAGCAAATTTTTGCCCAAGATTTTCAAAAATAATTCCTGAAACTATCATGTTTACCTGCTGCTTTTGGAAAATGTTGTCTGGTACTCCTGATTGGCGGAGATAGTAATGAAATTTTATATTCTGTTAGTACCTAGATAAGAAGAACTGTATTGGAATTACATTAGAATAGAATGTTGGATTATCTCATTCCCATTTACATCATTTTATGAGAGCTATTCGGAAATTAGACTGTTTGGAGGAAAAAGTGATAAAAAAACAATTTCTCATACTAAAAAAATATCTCTGGCACTACATTTCAACATATTTACCAACCAAATTGATGAATGCCTCATTGTGGTGAACAAGCTCTGATCAAAATTCCCTCTTCTTTTTCTTCTGCTGTTGGATTTTCTTTTTATGTTTTGCCTTTGTTTGAATTCAGAAAGTTTTTCTGACTCATTTATGGCCTGAAAACCTCGTCAATTTCTCGTTTACTGCAAGGTTAATCTAAGATTTGAGCTTCAGTTGGTATACTCCTGTTAAGGTGGAGTGAAAAAAATTTTTGGCTATATTTAAAACTACTGTTTTTTGGAGCTTGAGCATGTGAGGACAGAATACAATATTTTTTTGAAGATTTCTGGACTTTGACCCTTAAGGGAAAGGAGTGAAGGCTAAAACTGTAATTGAAAACTGAACCTGGCAACGTTGCTCTTGCAATCTTCCCTATATAAATTCATGCTAAGTTATATTTATTTAGTCTACACTTTAAATTTGGGTGCTTGTGTGTTATTTTATCTTATTTTAATTTTTAATGGCAGAATTGTTTTTCAGATGGGAATGTGGAAGTGGAGATTCCTGTTGACAACAAAACTGAATGCTGCAAATTTGGTGCCAAATCTTATGTGTTTGCTTCCCATGAAGACCTCCTGCTCACATTCTCCTCCACAGCTGGTATGTTTTATATGCTTCATTGCAAGCTTTATGTACATAGATACATCCTACCTACTAAACATTCTAACTTGCTTATCTTACTGAGCTTATACCTCAGAAAATCTGGACTCATTTGAATAATTGTTTGAATAAACCAAGTAAACTACCTCAAAAACTTGTGTGCATCCTGTTCAAGTTGTAGTTGCTGCCTTCCCTGTGTACTAATGTCTTAGCTAGGTCAGCTATTGCTTATTTAAGTTTAGATAATCATGTCTCATTAGTTGCAATTTGTGCCGGCTTAAGATCCTAAATTATTGATTTTCCTTAATTCTGTTGGCTAATATCTCACAGTGATCAATTTGTATTCATGTCATTCAATTCATGTATCATAGTGCTTATCTGATTTTCCTGATGCTTCATTTGATGTGCATTTTTCTCCAACAGATGCTAGGAGGTTCCATGAAATCATCTATAAGGTTAAGGTCGGCAAAGAAGCGTCTGTTTTCAATGAGAGAACAGATGACTCTAGTGCAACCCAATATTTCCAGGTTAGAAATCGTCAACTTCTCTTTTCAAATCATTGTATTATAATATGTGCACCATTATTATATTTTATGGGATGAAATAAATAATATGAAAGTAAATACATTCCCTTTATTCCTGGGTTGTGAAATGAAAGAACAAACTTATTATCTGTCATACAGAAAGGATACCCAAAGCTTTAGATACCCAATTACATACAATTGATGGTTCTTGCTTTTGTGTCAAAAGTCGTACAGCCATATCGGTAAAATATCAATATAGATCTTGATTATACCAAGTAAAAATAAGAAAATGGGTATTACCTGAATGGTACCATTACGTTAAACTGACTGCTTTTTCTTGTAGTTTTACAGTTACTTATCACAACAACAAAATATGATGCAAGACTACATCCGAACCGGCACTTACCAGCAAGCCATTTTGTCGAACATGTCGGATTTTAAAGACTGCATCGTGCTGGACGTAGGGGCAGGGTCTGGCATCCTGTCCTTCTTCGCTGTACAGGCGGGGGCTAAAATGGTCTATGCTGTTGAAGCTTCCAGCATGGCGCATCACTGTCAGGTTTGATTAATACTCTTTTAGTGTTTAATTTTTTCAATATTATAGTATAATTCAACATTCCATTAGATTTTGGTGAATGTGAAATTAATGCTTGGTTTCTTCAGTGACGCATACATTGTATAGAAGTTGTTTGTTTGCCTGAAATCATGCAACAAAATAGTGATGAATTCTTTTCCCACAGACGCTGGTTAAGTCAAACAACCTGCAGAACCGCATCAAAGTCATAGCAGGGAAAATAGAAGAGGTGGACCTGCCGTGCACTGTAGACGTGATCATTTCTGAGCCCATGGGCTACATGCTCTACAACGAACGTATGCTAGAAACTTACATCCATGCCAGAAAGTGGCTTAAACCAAACGGCAAGATGTTCCCTAGCAGAGGAGACCTCCATGTCGCGCCTTTCTGTGATGAAGGACTCTATTATGAACAACTTAATAAAGCTAATTTCTGGTAAGATTTTTTTTGGCTAATTTATTTTGTCAATTTTTATTCTAGCTTTATGTTTTATTAACTTTTATTTTCATGTATTTTGAAGTAGCTCTTTTTCCACATTATTTAAGCGTGTGAACAATTATTATTGTTATTATTAGTTGCATCCACGAATGCAAGTTGAGTCCATGCTGATGGCTTTGGATTTAACTAATGCCATTATGCGCTTACATTTATGTGCAGATTTAAACTGTCAACACTAACAATAGCTACTCATATTTTGCCTATTGCTGACTTGAAATAAATCTAGTGCGTTTTGTGTGTAGATGGCTACTAACTTTAATGCTTATTTGAAGTACTAATATATAGTGCATGTTAGCTTTAACCTCTAACATTTATATATGTCTATGAACTAAATGTGTTTCAGGTACCAGAACTGTTTTCACGTGGTTGACTTTGTACTAATATATAGTGCATGTTAGCTTTGAACTCCAACATTTATATATGCCTATAAACTAAATGTGTTTCAGGTACCAGAACTGTTTTCACATGGTTGACTTTGTACTAATATAGGTATAGTGCGTGTTAGCTTTGACCTCCAACATTTATATATGTCTATAAACTAAATGTGTTTCAGGTACCAGAACTGTTTTCACGGGGTTGACTTGTCACACTTGAGAGACGAGGCGCTGAGTGAGTACTTACGGCAGCCCATAGTTGACACATTTGACATGAACATCTGTCTCGCCAAGTCTGTGAGACACACACTTGACTTCTCGACTGCGGCCGAGACAGATCTCCACCATCTTGGTGAGACTTCCTTCCCAAGATTTTTCCTGCAATATTAAATGTACTTGATTTGTAAAATCTAGTCTGAATCTTCTTAGCAAAACTTCCTTTCCAAATATTTATCGTATTTTGTTATTGAGATGAAAGTCGTTTGTTTTTCCTGCAATATTATATGTATGTTGTTGCGTTGCTTGCTAAAATGTTTACCAGCTTCAAGACTTGCTACTAAATAAATACAATTTTTATCAAAACTAATGCAGATGAAATTAAATGTATGGAGTTAAACAAATATTCATTGAAGTTAGGTCTGCACATCCTTGGTGACAATTTTTAATTCTCAATTCGTAACAAAGACCCTTAGAAGCCTCTTTGTTGCTTTCCTTTTATTCAAAGGGTAAAATTGGTTGATTCGTATCTATGTAGTTTACATTCAACTCTTCGATACTCTTCATCAATGTGTAAATTCCCAATTCTGTGATGCATCTGCAATAAAATTGTCAATGAATTCAACTTGCAAATAGAACTAGGAATTTTCTGATGGAATAATTTTTTTTCACAAACAAGCATTAACACATAGAAATGGTAAAAGTAATTAGATCTCTGAAAATAGGGTCACGAATCAAATTTATTTTTCTTGAGTGATCCATAAAATGTACGTGGATAAATAATTGAAGTGTTAATATGTTTCCTCAACGTAAATACTGGTGTTCTATTTGTTAATTTTACTTCACTTATCAGGAATTTTTAAATAATTTCCACTGAAAATAGAAGAGCTCAAAATTGTTAACAAGACATATTCAACCTCGACGTATCATAAAATAGTACATACGTTCATAATTTGTCTCATTACAAAATTTCACGGTATATTATAGATAAGCCAGAAAATGTTCTAATAATTGCAACTTTTTAAAGAAATTCCGCTTGAGTTCCACATCCTGAAGAGCAGCATGATGCATGGACTGGCGTTCTGGTTTGACGTGGCATTCTTAGGATCAACGCAGACAGTCTGGCTGTCTACCGCCCCCACCGAGCCTCTCACCCACTGGTATCAGGTGAGGCAGGTGGTGTGGTTGTCTGCTGGTATCAGGTGAGGCAGGTGGTGTGGTTGTCTGCTGGTATCAGGTGAGGCAGGTGGTGTGGTTGTCTGCTGGTATCAGGTGAGGCAGGTTGTGTGGTTGTCTGCTGGTATCAGGTGAGACAGGTGGTGTGGTTGTCTGCTTGTATCAGCTGCTGAGTTGTGCCTATGACTTGTTCTGATTGTTTGGAGGTAAAATCACCGAACTCGTTCCTAGGAGAGAAGTATTTTAGCTGAGGAGTATTTCCCGCAGTGGACATGAGCAAAAATATTGTAGTTCACCCAGCACGTTTCAGCAGAAACGTCATAAAATGAACTTGCAGTCGATATGAGATCCTAAAGTCTTTATGGAGTTTTTTTTATCTAATCTTGAGGCATTTTTCATATTTGTCATTCCATTTCTGCTGTAACAATTTCTACCATCAAATTAACTGTTTAGATGGAAAAATGATCAGTAGTATTAATCGATTCCCACGAAATATAAAGCCCTATCCAATGCTAATTTTCAAGAAGGTAAAACTGTAATTGCTGAAAATCCCCTCGACTGCTTGCAGGTGCGGTGTCTGCTACAGAAACCCATGTTTGTGAAGGAGGGGCAGCTGGTGACCGGCAAAGTGCAGCTCATTGCAAATAGAAGGTAAGGAAACAACTGTCCCTTTTTGTGAATGCTTCAATACTTCATGCATTTATATTAGGCCAAATAAACCCTGTAAAATCATACGTTCTGATATAAAAATCAGTCTAAATTACGAATTTCCCCCATGTGAGATAGAAATTTGTTGTGGGAGTCGATCATAGTCTGAGTTGGGATAGAAAAAACGAGGATGCATCGATAACAAATACATTTCAGCCGCCGTGAAGGCCACTGAATTTTATGCTAATGAATTGAATGCAGTTGTTAGTTAATATTTTGTCATACTGGAAAACGTTATCATATGCAGCAATTAAAACACAAGTACAGTGATTCATTGATTTTAGCTTCATATGGTATACGGTGTGGTATAAATGGTATACCTCACCTCTATACCATTTTTACTCAGGTGGAGTAAAATTTTTTTTTTTTGCTATAATATGTCAAACTCCTGCATGTTTTTTGAGCTTGAGCACTTGATAAGGTACTTGAAATGAGATAAAATAATATCTTGAATGTATTTCGTGCTATTCTTTAATATTCAACAAATTTACTCCTGCATGTGCATCTTACAATGTGGTATAATTTGATATTTGAATGAATTTCTTGCTGAATTATTCTGTAATATTGAACAAGTTTGTTCATGCAGACAATCGTACGACGTGAAGCTGTCGGTGGTGATCGAAGGCACCTCCACGACTGGCGACAACACACTTGACCTTAAGAACCCTTACTTTAGGTGAGTGCCAGAACCTGTTAGGCCGGGTCTTAAGAACCCTTACTTTAGGTGAGTGCCAGAACCTGTTAGGCGGGGTCTTAAGAACCTCACTTCAGGTTAGTACCAGAACCTGTTAGGCCGGGTCTTAAGAACCCTTACTTTAGGTGCGTGCCAGGATCTGTTAGGCTGGGTCTTAGGAACCCTTACTTCGGGTTAGTACCAGAACCTGTTAGGCCGGGTCTTAAGAACCCGTACCGTACTTCTAGTGAGTGCCAAAACCTGTTAGGCCGGGTCTTAAGAACCCGTACTTTAGGTGAGTGCCAGAACCTGTTAAGCCAGGTCTTAAGAACCCATACTTCTAGTGACTGCCAGAACCTGTTAGGCTGGGTCTTAAGAACCCTTACTTTAGGTGAGTGCCAGAACCTGTTAGGCCGGGTCTTAAGAACCTGTACTTCTAGTGAGTGCCAGAACCTGTTAGGCCGGGTCTTAAGAACCCGTACTTCTAGTGAGTGCCAGAACCTGTTTGGCCGGGTCTTAAGAACCTCACTTCAGGTAGGAGCCAGAACCTGTTAGGTTCTGGCATTCAATTTTAGCACACTCATAAGAACCCTCACTTCAGGTTAGTGTGATAACCTGTTAGGCTTATCCCAAAGTTGCTTTTACACCGAGGCAGCAGTGGCGGCCAGTACAACATTTTAATACTAACCACTACTATATGAAGTACTACGGATTTCAATTGGCCTCGTGTACAGGCGCCACTATCCAGGAAATGTGCCCTGTAGCTCTTTCCACAGGTCAAGTATCATGATAATTAAAAAATCAATTATCAAAAGTCCCACAAATGGTTTTGCTTTCTTCCTGCTTAATGTAAATTTTAGCACATGAAACAGTTGTTATCGTACAACTATTTCTCTCTGTTACGAGTTAAGCACTAACAGTTGTCGATGGCGTTTCTTGTCAGCCACATGCAATAGTTGCTGATATACTCGTAACAAAATCCCGAGGTTCAGAGTTTTTTCTAAGGCTCTTGTACGGTTAGTGGGGAGAATGCAGTTTTTACGGGATAGACTATCAACACAAGGCAGTGCTGAAATTTAAACCCTCTGTGTAATAATAAAAATATGATTAACCTCTCGGTGTCAGGTTTTTATTTACCAATCCGCACACAAAGCGTTAAGTGCAGACCGTCCTGACTCGACCTGATCTTGTATAAGCTTATTACACCTTCCCTTGATAAAACGTCACGGGACGTAACCGTTCACGTGATTATGCTTCAATTAGACTCGTAACATCCGCCTGAGGATATTGCGTCTCACTTGAATAAATACTCTATATTCTCTAATATTAGAATACATGTATAGCTTGAGAAAATAGACGCGTAATTTATAATATAAAGATAGATTGATAAGATAGACATGTATTTTAGAATATTATATATTGCATTTGCATGTATTCTAGAATCGCTGCCCATCCAAGTAATGATAAACGTGTATTATACAACATAAATAAATACATATATTAGATGTATGTTAGGCTCGGAGTTAACAAAATTTGCATTACGGCAGGTATACGGGAGCTGCTCCACAGCCCCCGCCTGGCAACAGCACAACGTCTCCTTCTGAGAACTATTGGCAGCAGGTCGACGAGCTCGGTGCTAAGCAGGGTTAGTTGTACCATTACATACATGAGCCTTAAATGAAATATTATTATTAGTCCACGCCTGGTTAATAATAGGATATAATCCTAGCTAACTCATGGCAGCAGGTCGACGAGCTCGGCGCCAAGCAGGGTTAGTTATACCGTTTCATTAAAGCACGTAAGCCTTTACCAATTTACTGTATATAATGTAGACCTGGTTGAAACTCAGATACGTAATAACTTGGACACAATCACAAAGTTAACTACTGGCAATAGGTCGACTTGCAGGAGCACAACACTGAACACATTCAGTCATAGAAAAATGTTAAGCGCAATCAGTTCTTTACCATTATACCATTTTTTATTTACCTACTTACTTGCAACATCTTGCAATATAAAAAAATATTCCATATCAAAAATGTTAGTCAAATGTATTGTATGATTTTATTTGAGTAATGTTTTGATCTAAACTGGTGGTTTTAAAAATTATAGTTTAATAGAATTTAGAATAGATTTGCGCGTCAAGTGTTCTGAGCTTTAATAGCCCGTCCGGTGAAAATAGCGTTGCTGGTTTTAAACAGGCTCCGTATTGGCCTGCGATTGTTTCGAGTTGATTTTTATCATTAGATTATTTCATACTCGCGGACAATTTCATTTATCAGCAGTTACACAATGACAAATATTGCTGTTTGATGAAACGGATTATTTTCATAGCGTGTACTACATAGAAAAATTATATTATGATGTTAGAGACTTGTGCGATGCAATATTGTAGATATATTATGTATTTTATTGTGTGATTATTCATATTATGTGAAGTAATTGAATTGGGTAGAATTATGAAAGTAATATTTGGATTGTGTGCAGCCCTGAATATGGTGAACGGCATCACAGTTAACGGACTGGGCGAGGTGGCATTGGACCAGGGAGCCTCGCTCATCACGCTCGGTGAGTAGCTTGCATCATTTCACTCATTATATTTTATCACATTCATTACATGTTATTGTACGTTCCAAACGATGGTTCAAAATATTTCACAAAACCATTTTGTTCAGGTATAGTTTTTCATTCATTCGATATTGATGGGCGTATACTATCTTAATGAAATGATAGTCACATGGACGCTAAAAACACTTCATTTGATATGTTTCCTCAAGAGCGTCGTATTCATGCGCTAGTAATTCTTTGTGTGAATTAAATATTAGTACTATTTTTGATTGCATTAAAACAAGGAAATACTATCGCTTGTAGCGACGTGTCTACTAGAATATTTGTGTCTACTAGAATGCATGATTGATTTTAATCGGCGTCTGACAATAAGCATTGTCTTTAATCAGAAAATTTGAAGCTAACTTTTACTTTTATTTGAGTTACTATTCAACCGATAATGTTAGGCGTAGATGCAAGCTGGCGATTAGTGTGGAAGATTTTGTCGCATTGAATTTTCTAATGTGATTTTGAAGACGACTAGCTAATAGCTAGTCTTTCGTGATGAGACCTTCGGTGTTCTGTTATATTTAGTCTATGCCTCTCAAACAAGCGCTTGAAATTACTCTTTGGTTAGTGAATTTCCCTAAGTGGATAATTCCGAAAAATCATGAGCTATGGGATCTCGCAAATAGTGAAATTTGAACACTAGATAGACATGAGATTGTTTCACTGTAATTGGGGTTGAAGTCATCTCGAGCTTGTGTGTAGTTGTCGTGTGTTTGATGAAACAGGTTAGAATGTCTCTTGTTGTTAATTAAGTCTTTATTGTCTTGCTACACGATTCATGCATCTTTGATATTTGAGTATCCCTTGAACGGAAGACTAACTTGTTTAGCATCCAATTTACTTGGCTGATCTTCTTCCAGTGCTGTGATGTTTGAATTTGATAGCTTCATCGGTCCATCGAACGTTTTGTGTCAGTGGTTTCGAGTGCCTGCTACATTCCGGTACCGAGTTACATGTAATCTGGCAGACTAAAATGATAGGATTCATCTCTACCTGAACTAGACTCATTGTACTGTTTGTGTCACTATATTGTTACCATGGTTGTTGTATAGGTGCTGATTGTGTCATTAAATTGTTACCGTGACTGTTGTATAGTGCTGATTGTGTCATTAAATTGTTACCATGGTTGTTGTATAGGCGCTGATTGTGTCACTATATTGTTACCATGGTTGTATAGGTGCTGATTGTGTCACTATATTGTCACCATGGTTGTATAGGTGCTGATTGTGTCACTATATTGTTACCATGGTTGTTGTATAGGTGCTGATTGTGTCACTATTGTCACCATGGTTGTATAGGCGCTGATTGTGTCACTATATTGTTACCATGGTTGTGTAGGTGCTGATTGTGTCACTATATTATCACCATGGCTGTTGTATAGGTGCTGATTGTGTCACCATATTGTTACCATGGTTGTTGTATAGGTGCTGATTGTGTCACCATATTGTTACCATGGTTGTTATTGTCTGGCTGATGATTGTGTCACTATATTGTTACCATGGTTGTTATTGTCTGGCTGATGATTGTGTCACTATATTGTTACCATGGTTGTATAGGTTCTGATTGTGTCACCATATTGTTACCATGTCTGTTATATAGGTGCTGATACCATGGTTGTTGTATAGGTGCTGATTGTGTCACTACCTATATTGTTACCATGGTTGTTATTGTCTGGCTGATGATTGTGTCACTACATTGTGCGGCCGTGACTGCCGCGTTGTTGACGGGTTTCTTTCGTTCATTTCAGACGAGTACGCGGAGTGGCGCTAGGGCGTTAGGAGGGGTCGCTGGTCTTCAGGGGGCGGTGCCCCTGCTCGCTGGGAAGCTCTCCTCTAATCCTCCTACTTACTGGCTATTTCATTCGAATTATTGCCTCTTCATTTCAAAATCTATTTTTTTTCTCATGAATAATTGACCACAAATTAAATCACTATTTCATTCAAATTATTGCCTCTTCATGTCAAAATCTTGGGGGATAATTGACTACAAATTAAAATCGTGGTGTGATCAATTACAATCAATTGTAACCGCGAGGAAATAGGGATGAATGTTTAGTCGTGATTATGAAATTGAAGTGTTGGTGCTAAGGCTATATGCTTGCAAAATATTATGACCTTGAATTTACCAGATAATTGACGTTAAATGAAGTCATAAGCTGGAAATCTCCTAAGGAGCTCTTATTTGTGAACTAGAAATAAAATGTTTTCTCCGTATCCTCCAGTTCAACAATAATTTACATTGACATAGATTTAAAAAATTCAAAATCCTATTTGAAGCGGGAGTTTACATATGTCTCATAGTAACATTATTTTCACATTTGTGATGTGAAATTTATTTTCTTGTACATAGAGCAATTATGTACGGGGAAGACCTGTCATATTCTCAATATGAACTTGCAGCTAATTTGTCATGTGGCAAGCTATTAATTGTAGGAATAACGTCACTGCGCTGTTCGGTCGCCAAAGCAGACTTTTGACGCAGCATTTAATGTCAAGTCGCGAGTCGGTGTTGTGGTTATATCTGAAGGTTCCGTCCGCGACATTAATATTGTCCACGCTAAGTTATAGCTTGATCATTTGAGCGTTTCTCTATAAATGGGTTTGGACTCTGTGACATTAGCTGGTATTTTACGTTACATTCATTGTTTGATTATTGATGGTCGGACTGCGGACCAGAGATTTTGTTATCTTTGTTTCATTTTGTGGCTTTAGAGTTCATTTCAGTTTCAGCATCATATTGGTTTCATTGGCTATGCGGTGCACGTTGCATAGAAAGGCCCCGCGCAAGTAGACATAAATTCGGAGTAAGTGTCACTTGTTTAGAGGTCGGCGAAAGTTTCGATTACTTCACAAGTTGTGATATTTCGTTTCGGGGTTCTTTTATTTTTCATCTTATGGTGATAAAATTGGGTTAAATTAGATCATATAATGCTACATCTTGTTCATTACGATCAAGCTGAGTTGAATTGCCGTGCTTGATAATTATTAAAATCACGATTCAAACGTATTATTTACAACTGTGTTGGTCCTGTATTATTCCAACTCTCTTATATTGTTCTTGATTAGTTAAGTTAGTTGAATGGGTCATATGTTGGGTCAATACCATGACACATCATCGAAATAGTTCTCAGTTCTTGGTCGGTCAGAACGCGCGAGTTATGCGCACTTTGCTAATGAGATTTGAATGAAACTATTACCATTATATGGTATGTGACAACGAATAGGCTGTTATCGAGCGCGTGGTAACGCGCCCTACTTCCATTCGACTGTTTTAGAGGCCAAGAAAGCTATTACAAAGCTTTATTTGTTAATGCAGAAGAATTTAGAATTCTTCTATAATTTAATAGCACTTTTTTGATGCTCAAGATTAAGCAAATGGCAGCCAAGCTCCTACTCGAGGGCAGACAATTAGTTAATTATTTTTAGATTCTCGTTATCGGTCAATCTTCAGCAGCTAAGATCTTCGTGAATATTAGATAATTTAAGTGTGATATTCATGAGATATTTGAATGTCTGCACTGGCTCACTGGAATGCCGAAATATAATAATGTCTCACTTAGACTCATCGGCACTAACTTATATTTTTGGGCATTATTTTCTTTTAAAAGCTTGTTTAGTTTTCTTAAATGTCCTATTTGCTGGCATCGTCGACTGGCGTATGGTTCGTAGGACTTACTTCGATGCTAACGTCTTTCGCATGACCAGCAATGCTCATCGTTCATGAGTTATGTCCGTTGAAATGTTCTAAGATCATGAAAGATTAATAAAACTTGGATGAAATGTGATGTTGAATGTCCGATTTACCTCTTCATTTTATAAAATTTCTTATTCACAATGTAATGGTGCTTGCATTTTTAGTAAGTATACCGCAGCTAGACCGGTTTCCGACATCAGCATTGGTTGATAGTAACAGACGTCAATGTTGTTTGTAATTTACTGATAGTATGTATGAAAATTAGTCTTCAAATTGCCGGTCACTTAATTTTTTTTAATTTGATTCTGTAATTTGGAATTAGTATTAGAATTTGTAATTGTTTGGAAATCTAAAAATCGTATTGTTCACGATATTCCTGGTTCGCCTGATGAATAAATGATTGATTCCAGTTCTCGATGGAATTACAGTACCCTATCTTAGTTTTTTTACGTGAACATTATTGATGCCTTCGCACATTAATATAGAATTTCTGAACGACCTTTCGTTGGAGAGGATTTGGGTTGTGATTACTACACGTTCTTTCATTAAATCTCAAGCGTCCGTATTAAAATGAGGATGACAACATGTAATGCTGTATTTTAGCGTTTCCTCGGCTCATTGGTCTTGACTTTATTTTTTGACTAAGAGTTCTATTCCTACTATAGATCTTCTCTAGAACTTCCTGCCTGGTGTTTTCTACTTGCTCCCTTCAAAAATTATCTCGGTCATCGTACGTTCGCCGTTGTTAGTAATTTTTTCATTCAAAGTAGACTAGTAACTAATAAATCAATCTACACTCGAGTGTTAGACTCTGTAGTCATTTTTGAAGATCGTGCTTCTGTACTTTGGTTGTTCATGTGCCTGTCTCGTGCAAACGTCACTTCGCTTTGTAACGTTTCTTGGAAGAATTGAATAATTGAGAAATGAATGGGAAAGGAAATAACTTCTTAGAGAATTGAGCACTCAGAGCTGTAAATGAAACAGGAATGAGCGCTCGAGAAATTAAGGTGAAAGTGATATCAGTGGAGAGAAATGAATTATCAATAAATGTAATTGAAAAGAAATGATCACTCTAAGATAGAAGTTTGAAAATGAGCTAACGAGAAATGTAAGCGGAAAGAGATTATCGCCCAATGAATTTGTGTGGTCCAGGATGGCGTAATATTGCTACTTACAATTGTTGGTGTGATTTTGTGGTCTTTATTTTCTAGATCTGTCTTCCTCTGCTTATTATACTGCCATGTTCACGCTAATAGTGGACATTCAGAAAGGAAATATACTCTATGCTCTGAAGCAAGTGCGTTTCTATACCCGTAAAAGTTACGGCGGTTTTTCAAGGTTTCACGGTTTACAAGACATAAAATCGAAAGTTTCATTCCAGGTAACGTAGGTACCCATTTAGATTAAAGACAGTCTTTACTTGCGAACCGCAATAATAATTATAAAAATAGAAAATAATAATTATAGTAAAATATTGTAGTATTCGTACGCTATTAAGCTAGATTTCACCGAGGAGTTTATTAAATCCAGATACGTGTGAGTAAACAAGGAATTGTTGGTAGAAAGATCTGGTGCGGCATTCTGAAAATTATATAGTTGAATATTTTCTCGTGAAGTATGAATACCGGAAGAGGCCAATAAGATGTTGATCGTGCCGTGAAATGGTTTACTGAAGTCACTGCTAACTTCGCAGCACAGTTCCACGCAACGCACAGCGGGCTATGCACTTTAACAATGACATAAATTCACTTCCAAAAACTGCTTGATTCTTCACAGCTCACTCGCAACTACCGTCTTACAAACAGTAAATTAGATGCTTTACTATAAATTCTATATACGATTTCCATGTGACCATTTTGTACGTTTAAATCAGGCCATGGAAGGTCCATCGACTCTCACAACGCAATTGAAGCTTGGTTTATGCAGAATCGATAAAAGGCAAATTAATCCTTGTCAAAAAAGATTTTAGTAACGTTAATGCGTTAGCCTTCGGAACGATGTACTGGATCAGTATTTTGGTATAATAGATGATAAAAATTCAGAATTTGCGGTGATTTGATCCTAGAACATCGATGCAAGAAAATTGTTTGCGAGAGGAAAAATTATCGACAATAATTTTTTAATATCTTATTTGCCTTGCCTCGTGAAAGTCATAGCTTTGCATAGTAATGGAACTGTTGAAAAATATTGCAATGAAGAAATCGGCTCTGCGTTTCTATTTATTTATTGAAGCATTTTCACTTATTGATGTTATCGTGGCAGGAGCATCCGGGCTTCAGCTGGCCCCAGCAGCTACGATCGTCGGGACGCGGCCGCCGCAGCGCACAGCAGCAGCAGCCTCCTCTGGCGGCGTCTCGGCCGCGACTGTCCTCAACCACCACGCTGGACCTGCTTACGCGCCCCTGCAGCACCTCGTTAACCACAGACAGGTGAGTGATGCTCATCACGAGCCAGACTTTCTAAATTCTTAAAACTCTTAAGAATTCTTAACTCTTTTAGCCAATCACTGACGGCTTTTCAATCTAAATCCACCAATCAAATGCTAAAGACCGGCCGCTACGTGTACTTGAGCGAGTTTTGAAAGTATGGCTACTCACTCACAGGAGCGTGACAGCAGGTTATCAGACAAATGAACGACTATTATCAGACAGGTGCGTGACGGTGATCAGACAGGTGGGTGACGGTGAACAGACAGGTGCGTGACGGTGATGAGACAGGTGCGTGACGGTGATGAGACAGGTGCGTGACGGTGAACAGACAGGTGCGTGACGGTGATCAGACAGATGCGTGACGGTGATCAGACAGGTGCGTGACGGTGATCAGACAGGTGCGTGACGGTGATCAGACAGGCGCGTGACGGTGATCAGACAGATGCGTGACGGTGGTCAGACAGGCGCGTGACGGTGATCAGACAGGTGCGTGACTGTAGGAAACCATACTGAGATGTTAGAACAATTCGCTGATTCGTTGCGTAATCACTGCGGTAGACTGATGTCTGAGTAACTTTCAGTACAATGTAGGTTTCGTTCTCATAATCGTCAAAGCATCACTCTCTTGTGAAAATGAGTAGATTAAAAGACGATATCTATTTTTCCAGCACATTACTTACATTTCTTTAAATAATTTCCTTGTTGAACTGGGTGGTTGTTGTTATTGACCTTCCCCGCCTCGCATCACAGCGCGAGGCGGGGCCTAGACCCAGTTAAAAAAAACATGGGCTTCGGGTCCCCCCTTGTTAAACGGGGATAAGTTGGCTGTCAATTTGGACCCATGTCCGGGTCGCGCTCCAACCTCAGGCAGACCGACAGCATTTGGAGACAGAGAGACAAGAAGGGAAATGTAAGGAATCCTACCTACATAATAACTTAACCCCCACAACTGAGACACCGCGAGCTCAGCGGTGGGACGCTCAGGAACAATCTCCCTGGGAACGTGAAATCCCTTAGAACTTCTGACGAGCACAGACACGCGTCAGAAGTCTCCTCTGAGGGGTTGAACGCGCTGATGGTCACTGACGTCGGTAGTTTAGCTGTAGCTTATTTTTTTCCGTAGTTCGAGCAATGCACGCATCAATTCTATTAAATGAATGAAGATTAACGATGTATTCATTCTACAGGCGAGCAGCAGCAACTTCCCTGTGAACAGCGCACTCATGATTGGCGACTACGTGACTCCTGGAGCCATCCTACTGCCTACCCAGGGCCTTAACGTCAACCCTACTGCCCACCCAGGGCCTTAACGTCAACCCTGCTGCCCACCCAGGGCCTTAACGTCAACCCTGCTGCCCACCCAGGGCCTTAACGTCAACCCTGCTGCCCACCCAGGGCCATAATGTCAACCCTGCTGCCCACCCAGGGCCTTAACGTCAACCCTGCTGCCCACCCAGGGCCTTAACGTCAACCCTGCTACCCACTCCACCCACGTAAACCGTGTTCTGCAAACTCCAGCATCCAGCCCACTTACTCTGCTCTCTGAATGCCCGACGTGTCCAAATAAAGCTGCGGGATTACCAGACCATCTTCCTAGCGATCGCTCCAGTCCTTCATGTTGCCATGTCTAAATTCTTTTCTTGTTTCAATTCTTATATTATTTCTACGTTGTCCATCCGATTTTGATGCATCAAGCTCAGCACGCAGATGAATTCAGAACGATTCGGTGTGATTTTTTCATCAAACATTATTTTGTCTGAGGATTTGTTGATCGATAGTCATTTTCTTTGCTGGTGTAGGTATTTCTTTGCTCCACACGCGTAAAAGTTTCATAGCTTGGTGCTATGCTTGATTTATTTTTATTTGATGAGTTATAATGAACCCTTCAGCCAAATTTACTCTCGCTCAGAGATTTTTATTAATATATCGACAACAAGGAATGCACCAAGTTACTAATTTTTCTGAGTTATATTCATGCCAATTGCACGATTATTAGAACGACACAAATTTATAGTATGTCTGTTACTTGAATAACTCAGTAGATAACGTTTAGTGTTGCGCGCTTCCTGATTCAGTGTAGACTTCAACTCGATTAGTTGGTTAACGTCAATAAATTTATCAAATTTCGATTTAAAGTCCACGGAAACGTGTGATTGTGCTGGGCTTCGTGAGTGCAAGGCATTGTTTTTTTTACTGTCTGATCTGATGAAAATATGGTACTATACACGTTGATTTTTCGTGCCTGAAAGTCATTATTCGATCAATGCAGAGTTGGAAGTATTTAATAAATTTGTATTTAATTGATCGGTTGAATCCATCCAACATAGGCTGGAGTTAATCCATGATGTGTGTTGAAAATTTCTTTCCTGTCATGAAGTCCTAATTTTTGCATGGCTATACACATCAGATAAGCAGCTTTTCTAGGCCAATATATATGTTAAAATATTGTTGAGACAGCGTTCGAAACAAGGACAACTCTTGTATAGCAATAAAGTAGATGATTTGTTGCATTCTGCTGGTTTGGTGGTTAACTGTGATACTTCGTATCGTTCTTCTGTGAACTTTCTGGTTTCACTTGAGAATCGCAAGGAATTTACGGAGAGATCCATTTTAGAATTTTGTTTACTGGGTTAAATTTCAAGATGATTGCTTCTTGTTAGTATTTATTCGAATTGATGTAATGTTTTTCATGTGTCAGAATCTCTCATATTTTGCTCAGATCTTATCGCTCCTAACCCATTTTTCTAATTATTGGCCTATTTTTAACTATTAAATCGGTAAATGTTGTTATTGTTACTTGTGCTCGCTGAACGATGAGAATAATTATAACTAATTACATTCCACGTGATCGCAAATCTGTGTATTAATTTCTGTAACGTTTTTTTTTTTTTTTTGTGTGTGTGTTGGTTTTGAGTGAAGGAACTTCAAGGGAAGCTATGATTAAGTTCGGCATCTCTTTTTATTTATAATGGGTGGAATTACTTGGCATATTTTTATTTGTAACTCATATGTACATCGTGATTTGGAGGAGAATCTTCGTCTGGTTCCCCTTGAGCTGCTCGACTTCAGTACAAATCGCGGCTACTTTCTCCCAACTTGAGATGCTCGGCAAGTGTAACCGCAAACTTTTTCTTAGAAAACAAGTCCCTGTTATGGGATTTGTATGCTTAGTTTTCAGTTTTTTATGCTATTTAATAACATTTTGGTGGAACAGGTTCATTTTATGCTGTTTTTGCTTCTGTATATATTCTTAGTTCTTTCTTTACCGTTAGTATTTCTAGACACAGTGCGAATTTTGTTCTATCGTTTAGGTATACATTTCGAGGACGTCTGTCCTACCACTCACTCAATGTTGTTAGTGAAGATGTCTGCTTTGTTAGTGACACATAGGAAAGGACTTAATATTGCTCTTTGTTTGTTGAACTTTTTGCGTCCGCTGTGCAACGATTAATTATAATGGTTGTGGAAAACATTTTTCTGGAGTCTTAGTTCGTTGAGAATTTCTTATTCGTCCCGGTCCCGAGCAACGATGCATTAGTAATTTCAATCGTCAAGTTCCTGAGGAAGTTTTCCACCGTCACTTAGTTTTCATGTTAAGTGCTGGTCCCCATTTATCAGCCTCTTTGTTAGCAGTGATGTATTAAGTAAAACTTTGAATGCAGGACCAATACTTATCTGTGGAGGCGAATGTCAATGGAAGATTATGTATTCCTTTTTTTTGCGCTAGGTAACGGTAGGAGATTCTTCTCAGGCTGCACTCAGATTGAATCCCAGCAGAGAATTGAATGCAAATATTCTTTAAGGATTACATCGGGACAATTTCCATTTGCTGAAATGTGAACGAATCCTTCTCATCGATGTTCGCTGAATACTATCTTTTTATCGCGCTCCCTACGCGAGGCGAGGCTGTCTGATGACTGTTTGACGAAGTGATTCTTAGATATGATGATGTTATTATGGGCCACACATTTTTCCTTGGCACTTCAGGAAAGTTTGACTCATTGTGCCGAGCTTGATTCCTATGGAATTTCGGAAAGTTGCTCTCCGCAACGACTAATGATGTCCCGGTTTGACGGGTACTTTTAATTCTGATCACCTCTGGTAGGGACTTATAGTCCTGTGCTATTCCTACGAAATGTTTTAGACTTTTAGAACTCGAGGTGACGAGCAAGTTAGGGAAACCTTTTGTAAGCCTGCACTGGCTTAGCCTTTCGTGCAGCATGATTTAGAGTGTGTACCGTTGTTGCTCTTGGTCGCGGATCACAAGTACTGTTACCTTCAGGTTGTGAAGGTTAACTTAGCAGCGAGAAATACGTGCCAGGTGAAAGTTAGCTGAAACGTAGGACGTAGAATTACTTGTACGAAGCGTTTCGCTACCACTACCTTGCATTCGTAGTTTTGTTCTGGACATTTTGCTGTGTCGAGTATAATTTCTTGTAGAAATTTTTTTCTTATCCTTTGTGGCAATTTTCATTGCATAATTAGGCTTCTTACTGATCAGTCTAGTATGAATCACGTTTCGATTCGAGCACTGATTGTCTTTGCGTGCCTAGACGTCGCCTTCAAATTAGCAATAATACTAAATTTCATCGAGGCGGGCCCCACAGACTACAACGAATTGGCTTGCTTTTAATCTTCTAGCAATACTTCTAACAGCGACCTGAAGCTGTCACAAACCTATATATGTAGCAGTGCTGATTAAAAATTGAAACTGGGAACACGTTGGGTCAAGTCTCGATTCAACTGGTAAATGGTTCCCGGGCTGATTCAACACGCGTATAAATTGCATGATCTCTAGCTACTCCCGTACCTAGTCCATTTGGTCCTGGATGAGTGTATGACGCAATGGTCTACTAGATCACCATTGATTAGGTGAAAAAAATGGAAGAACTCGTTGAGCATGAAAGAAAATTAAATTTTTTTCTTTTGCGACGAACACGTGTAAGAAATTCCTTGTAAATTTTTCCGATTATAATTTTAACGGGGGTGCTTATTCTTAACAAGAACATAACTGTTCCAAACTTTATCGTCCGCCGGCGATTGACTACCCGCAGCTTCGCTAACTTACGTAACTTTTAGCTCACAGCATCTGGGGTTAGGTTCCAGATAGCATAGTTCTGCTCTAAAATTTATCGTCGTACGACGCGTGGCCGATCGACCGTGGGCTGATTCGACACACGGGACAGATACGGACGGCTCCGGCGCGCTCCGTCCGGGTGGTGTAATTTTTTTTTCGCGTGTTGGCAGACTACGCTGGGCCATACGACGCCAGGCTTATTTTCCTGTGGGCTGATTGATCTAATTCAATGGATGTGATCTGTCTGATGGCGTGTGGCTGATAATGTCACAGTCAAGATGTGTTGTAGGCTACGTTCTTCAGGGAAGGGATCATGATAATCCATTCGAAGCACGGCAGTGGTGGTCTTCGACAGGCGTCCCGTACCAATATTGTGGCAGCTATTGACTAGCTGATGTGCTGATACGGTTTCTGGCTTTCTGCTCATTTATCCGCAACGTGCCCTCGCTCCTACTAGGCTACATTTACGAGCGGAATTTTCACTGTTCCCTTTACCACGTTTTACTGAGCTGTTAGACTGTTAGGTATCAATCAAAGCCAGTTTAGGCAAGGGGCTTGCTTTATGGACTAGTTTCCAGTGCTCCTATAAGAATAACTAAAAAAAAAAATTACGAGCCACCTGTTCCGTCAATTTGTTTAGACTATAACTGTTAAATTCCTGGTTTTAAAGTGCCCTAGTTTATGTCAAATAAAAGTGTTTTAAATCTCAGTGTTGACTGGAAAACTGTGTTTTGTTGCACCACTAGTTCTAAGAGAATTATTAGATATTGGGTTCGTGACTGACGTTCCACCTTTTTTGCAAGGCCATCTTTGACGTTAGGAACGTCCGGTCACAGGTCCTTTGACGTCATTTTTCCGAAATACTTTGAACGAAGAGATCTTGCCGGCTGACTGGAAAGAAGCTCAAGTGACAACATTGTTCAAAAAAGGTGACAAAAGCTTCCCTGGAAGATATCGCCCTTTCAGTTTGACACGTTTCGCTTGCAAGGTCACTAGTGGAATCTGTTATGAGGGATCGATTGATCAACCATTTGACTGCTAATAATCTCCAATCAGACTGTCAACATGGCTTCATTGCTGGGAGATCCTGCACCACTAACCTCTTGTCTACTCCGAATGAATGGACCCGCCTGCTGGACGAAAAGGAGGCTGTAGATGCTGTGTACCTCGATTTTGCCAAGGCATTTGTCAGTGTCCCACAGGAGCGGCTGTTGCGTAAATTAAAGTTTTTGGGAATTGAAAGTATTATACTCTAATGGATCAGAGATTTCCTAGTAGGGAGACGATACCGTGTCAGTATTCCTACGTCCGTATCAGACTGGGCTTTAGTGCACAATGGCGTGCCACAAGGAAGCGTTATCGGGCCTGTTTTCTTCGTTGTGTTTATAAACGATCTGCCAGAAGCGTGTGCTCGATGTATGCTGATGATACAAAAATTTATAGTACAGTGAAGGAAGCGTCAGATAAAGAGCAATTGCATGATGATGTTGACGGTTTAGTTGTACTGATGCGTGGCAACTGCGTTCTAATGCTGACAAGTGTTGAGTAAAGCATCTTGGTAAGAATAATGAACAGCAAGCTTAAAGAATGAGAAAGCATGGTTTCAACGAGAGAGTAGTGAATGGGAACTAGACAGAGGAAAGAGACTTGGGAGTTTCTTTTGACATGGAATATAATTTTCCTAGCATATTTAGAATTAAAAGCAAAGTTATCAAATTCAATAGCACTGATCCGACGCTCCTTTGAGTCCATAGATGCAGAAGCGATGAAATCGTTGTTCTGTCGCAGAATCCTAAAAAGGTCAAAACACAGACAATTTTGTTCAGAGATGTGCAGCAGGTATAATTCCAGGCTTAAAGATGAAGACTTTCATTAAAATACTTATTGTCATAATTTTCAAGTGAAGGCATAAATAAGTCAGAAGTGCCGTGTAGTGATACTATAAATATTTAATGCAGTGCTAATGAATTAAATATTATATAACAACGGTGAGGTCATCAGGATATGTGCGTACGGCGCAATATTCTACGCGAAGAACTTTATACGCTGATGAGTCTGTAGCGTGATCGCTTACATGGCGGACCACAACTTCGCTACTTACATCGTCTCTACGATGTCTTATGTCTTATGAAGAAAGATTAGAACTATGAACTTCCAAGCCTCTGTTATCGACGTCTGCGTGGTGACCTCATTGAAGTATGCAAGTATACTCATGGTTTATTCAAGATTAATAGAATTTGAAACATTATAGGTAGAAATTCGATTGTCTAGTTAATTCACGTTCAAAATGATTTCTACACAGACGTTTTTCCAAATTTAAATAGTTACTGCTCAAAATTATGGTTTTCTACGAACTGTGGGCGTTAAATTGTGTGAAGGCTAACACGCAAGCGCGCTGTGTCAGTAGTCTGTTGCTATGTTCGGAGCGTGGTTGTGTTTTGCTATTCTGCTCCATTTCTATCTCGTGTAGCATAGGCATGTAAATAATCTGAATCCGATTAAAGTGAAAAATGTGATATGTTGTGCAAAAATTTACTTAGGAGTACGAGTTCTTCGAGATGATGGCTGACACCGATGTTTCATCAGTGAATGATGTGCCGATGGAAAACTTGAAGAAGGGCTCGCCAGCAAAGGAACAAGGTTCGTTGTTTTGAATGCCGTATCATAATTTTTAACCAATATACATGATACTGTTGATGTGTGTTGTTGAGTGATGAAAATCTTATTTGCTGAAATTATTTCGTCTCATTCTTTTGCATTGAAAATATTTGGAAAAAAATCAGGGAGCTACTCTGTTAGAGCCTAGAGTAGAGGCTATTAGTATTAGGCTAATGCTGCCCGGCTCTGGCTGTCGGTGTCGACACTGATAGTCAAGTCACTGTCAGTCTGTGACTGTCTGTCACTGCAGGGCTGGAAAAGTCCTATTTTTTCTGAAATATCGCGGCTCTAATATATCATTTTAGTAGGTGTGAAATTTTGTGGCTCTATTGTCATAATTTTTTGTTTGATTGAAAAAATTGGGGTTTGCACTTTGTAAACATGTCGTTTTATAGAATTTTCAAGTTCCACAATCTGCATTATATATACATCAATTTCAATGCTCCCAAGTCCCAACTCCAGCCAAAATAACATGCAGAACGTAATAACATCAACAAGTCAACCCAAAACGTTGAGTTGTTGACTAACCTAGTTGCAGTCAGGACTCAGGATTGGAATTTTTTTACTTGTTTTTGAAATCTTGTGGCTTTTATCATGACAAATTTCTAATACTACATTTTGAATCTTGAAGCTTGATTGTACACTTTTGTTAACAATTGGATAAGAGGTAATTCATCTGGTGGAAATCTCGTGGTTCCGGAAATGGCAGGAAACCTCTAGTTGCGGCCCTGAAAGTAGATATTTTCCATGCTTGGTTGAGATCAGACTGTATTATCACTTGTTCAGTTGCCGCTTAAGTGAAGACAAATGTTAGTGACTGTTTTTGGGGTAAAATCAGAGATTTGGGTAACACGTGCATGGGACTTTGTAAATAATTAATTCGCCTCACGTAAATGACTTTTCACGGCCATGATATGGTATTAACAGCTCAAAGAAATAGAATCATGGCTGGCAAACCCATAAAACCACAGCTCAAAAAATCCAGTCCCAGCTTGCCAAATAGATATATTCCATGCCTGTGTCACTGTAATAGCTGACACCAGACAGTTCAGATTGTCATTGAGTTTAGTGCTTACTGCTAAGTGGAGCCTGGAGTGGAGGTACTGGCCAGGGTAGAATTATATGAATGTTGGTTTATGAATACAAGATATATATAGGTAGTTCTGGCCCAACACTTGATCATTTTTAAATACTAATAGGCTTAACAGAGTTTTAAATAAAACGAGGAAAATATATTTTTAAGATTTTTCAAGCAAAAAAATAAGTGCACTCTTTCATTTATAGGTATATGTATGAAAAATGGACCTGATCCTGAAGTAGTATATTGTCTCACATAAAGTACCATAATAAATGCTGATAGCCTGACTAGCGGCACCTATTTATTTTGTAAACTAAGCTGAACTGCATATTCATGATGGAATTCCAGAAAGTGGTTGGTCAATTAGCTATGCCATAACAATTGCAGATCTTGAAAATGGGGGGATGCAGTTTGAAGGCACTGTAAGAGTGTTAATTGATAAGGGAATGGCAGTGAATTGGGTGCTGAAGTGCTGTACTGCAGTTGGCCAGAGCGTCCACTCCTTTTCCAGGACAAGTGCTCCAATTTTGGCTAGTGCGCTCCTAAATTACAAAGGGACATGGTCATTAAGAAGACATTAAGTTTGCAGCAACCTGCAAGAAATTGACTACCACTTTGTATCAAAGATTATAGGTCCAAAGTAGCAAATTTTCAATGAATTTAGAAACTTCCAACTTGATTGTGCCATTTTATTTTCAATCCAATTAACTATTCATCTAGCAGTAATCTTTCAGCTCCATAAAATGACAGGAAAGCTCAAGTTTTTGCTCAGAAAGCTGGATTAAAATTTTCCTTCTCACTACTGAAATCTTTCAGCTCCAGAGTGGCAAATTTTCACTAAATTTTCAATCAAACAGTGTGATGCACTTTTATCAACAATTGATAGAAAAAAATTTCCTAGTTCCAAAAATGGTGGAAAAGCTCTAGTTGCAGCCTGAAAGATCTATATATTCATTGCCTATAGAAAAGTGATGTATTCCAAGCTTGATGATACTGGTTATATATTTTCTTGGTAATGAAAGCCTGGAAAGACACTAATATTTCAGTCTAATAGGCACTATCTTACAGTCTGGCTTTAGAGCCGTGACATTTAAGAAAAAATATAACTCAGTGCTCACTGCAGTGAGTGACAGAGCACATTTTCTCGTCGACGAAAACTTGAGGTCACGGACAGACGGACGGACAGACAGACGGACATGGCGAGCACAATAGTGCATTTTTTCCATAAATGAGAAAATGCGCAAAACAGTGTTTGCCCAATATTTAATTGATGTACACCATAGTGTTTTTACTTTAATGTGACCACAATTGGGATGATATTGATGAGGACTTATTTTTACAGGATGACCAAACCTTAATATTTCAAGTTCAGCTGATAATAAAAGCAATAAGAGCTGTGACTTTTGCAAATTAACTACACTGTTGGAATTGGAGCTCTAAAACTATACCTTATGAAGATTTACTGAAGAGGCACAGTTTTTCAATCATGCTTTTGCCCAAAGACTACGGTATGTCGTCTATGCCGATACCCTCTGCAAAATTTTTCCATCCCAATTATTCAAAAGGCATGCAATTTCAATTATTTTATATTATTCGTTAGCATATATACCTATCTATATTATCAGAAAATCATCTATGAAATATTTGGTTTCATTTTGTTGATGCTGGCAATCAAATTTCAATAAAGTGGTAATTTGTTCAAATTAGCTGCACTCACTATGTATGTTCTAACCTAACGGACAACATTATCTTCCTGCATTGAAAAGGAACTAATGTGAGAGAAACCTAACATTTTGGCATAATTCATGAAAATCTGTCGCACAATATCCTTGATTCCCATGCAATCATATGTCAATGAGATTGACCAAACATGAAGAAATGTTGCCATTGGATCCACAAATATGCATGAGGAAGCTTCATTCCTGTCTTACCAGTTGCTGATAATGAACAAATTATTTAATAATTAACAAATTATACCACTAGAAGTTAAGATCATATTTTTGTTATGTAGATGAAACAAGAAACAGTTGAGTAATTCATGTCAAGTTTTATAATTTTAAAAATCAGCCTCTCCTGAACATTAACTGTCTATTGATATTTTACTCAATGGTTTTCATATCCAAGCAACCATTGCCAGTTTCTTATAAAGTATAAACTATTAACTCCTATTGGAAAATGGGCAGATTTATAAAGAATATAACTCAGTAGGTACTCTCTGCAGTGACAGAGAGCGCATTTTCTCGTCGACGAAAACTTGAGATCACGTACAGACAGACGGACGGACGGACAGACAGACAGACAGACAGACCGACGGACATGGCGAGCACAATAGTGCATTTTTTTCCATAAATGAGAAAATGCGCTAAAAATGCAAATGGAAAGATACCATCATAGTTATGCATTCAATAACTGGCAGGAAAAACTTCTTAGTTATGCTTAAAATCGCTGTTATGAATAACTTAATAGGTATGAATCCAATACCTGACAGGAATAGGTAACTTCATAGTGCGCATCCAATAGTGGGTAGGAATAACTTCATAGTTACGCCTACAATCACTGGTAGGAATAACACTACAAAAGGAAACAATTGACGACTGATTGATTGGAATGTCAATTTCATGACCCGCCCATTCATCTGAGGTCACCCCTATTGCAAATCATGGTCGGAACATCATCAGCTTCCAGGGGCCTCGGGAAATACACTGATAATACACGTCTATCTTGAGTCAGATTGTGCTCAGTGTATTAACATTTGTAGGTTCATGGCACCGCATTCCTGAAGATACGACGGCCTTATCGTGATATGCCGCATTATTCCACCTTCTATGACACCATGCAACCTTCTATGGCACCATGTGATGAAAATTGTATGGGTATATACTTATTATATATTATTGTTATTAATATTATATATACACACCTCAAACGTATGGCTACGAGACCTCGGAGTTTTAATACCAAACCTGTTTTTTGGGGCTACTTGTACCTATGTCGCCCACCCTTACACTGAGAGAAATGAGTTTGACTTTGTCCGTCTAAATAGCGATGTACTTTTTGCCCTGGTGTGCATTATTTCAGTGAAAGTGCGTACCTAGCAGTGCTACGTGCAGTGTGTGATTATTCGGACAAAATGACTTATCCAAAACAGGAAATAATCCACATACGTACTTCTAAGTACTGCATTTTACATGGAACATGGGAAATAGCTTCGTTTCTGCTAGATTGGAATTCTGGAGGGGTTATTAAATTACACTTCTGAGTATACCTACGGCTGATGTTTCTTCGCTACCGAAAATTTTATTCTACAAAGCTATACCCGAATATTTTATCCTCATTTGTTGTAAAATAGCTTCGTGTAATGTATAATATGATTGGTGACTGTAACCTCCCGTACTTCAGCTTGCACACACACCAACTAACAGACCTTGTTTGTTTAGATGTAATTTAATACGAAAACAAAGGAATCACAATACACGTGCGAATATGAGTATTTCTTTGAGGTATGAGATGTTAGTGGCGTCTGCATTAGGTATACGGTATTTGGGGTATATATTTCTGGGCATGAGGTATGGTATGTGGATAACTATAGCTGGGTATGCGGTATGTGAGGTATATCGAAGTATGCGGTATATATGTGAGGTAGATCGAGGTATGCGGTTTGTAGATATCTATAGCTGGGTATGCGATATATGAGGCATACATCATAATTAGGTAAGTGGTATGTGGAGTATAGCCGAGTATACGGCATGAATGCATCCATGTATGCGTTATAAAGGTATGTGTGTTTGTGTGCGTTGGGTAAGTGTGTTAGTGGACACAGGTGTTGTGTGACCTTCATGTGCTGGTCACCTCGTACCGCTGCCAGCTTCACGCTCCTGCTTCTTCTGTTGCATGCTGCTTTTAC